TACACAAAACTTACAAAAGACTAAAACCCAAAATCAATCAAAACAAATTTCTATCTTTCTCTAGGTTGTAAAACACTTTCAATTGAAGAGACAAAAAGAGACTCACCTCTACATGATTTATGATTTCAGATTTTGATCAAACAGGTGGATAAGAATTTCAATACATTCATCCAATTGATTTTGCCTCCAAATTTCACCTCTCTTTCTTCTTGATGAGTATCAAAGAATGAGACACAAAATCTGATCAATTCACCTAAACCAAGCCATTGTGTGGATAAATGGTGACATCAAAGTGTGCAAGGTTGAAAGATATGATGTAAATAAGAAAATGGATAGTTTGGGTCACAGTCTAGGTTGATGAAGCAAAGAAAAGGCATTGGACACAAGGCAATCCCCAACTGGTCCTGGAGCTTCCAGTGCATGGCCTCTTGTTAGGCTGAGAGATGATGTGATACTGTTTCATTATCTTCTTGATTGAAAAATGAGTGATAGTTCCGTGAAGATATTGAAGGAAACTGAATTGAACGTCACGTAGTGACGTCATGCTGAGGAGCAGGACGCGCATACTGTTATATGCATTATAGAAGAGTTTCTCTTTTCTAACATCTTATGTAATCATTGAGTTCAAGTTGTTACTATATTAGAACAAGTGTTGTACACATCTAGTTGTTCTTTTTCTCTTATCGAACTCATTATCAGAAACCTTTCTCAATCTCCTTTCTTAGATTGTGGTTTCTTTTGATCAAGCATCAGTCACGCATAAGACTGATACTAGATCCTTAATCTATTCAGGTATTGTGGTTTCTTTCGATCAAGCATCAGTCACACATAAGACTGATACTAGATCCTCAATCTATTCAGATAAAGAACCATTCCTGAATCTCTTTAACTGGGGACAGCCTGAAGCTTTTTTCCATGTCTGATTCCTATTGATACGGCAATCTCATTGAACTGATGCTCACCACAGCATTTGAAATCTTGGAAACATTTACAAAAATGGTTGTTATGTCCTTCAATAAAAGTTCTCAATGCAAGATGGCTGCCTTTGACTCAAGAGGTAGATGAATTGCTGAAATGTGGAGTAGAAGAGCTGAAGATCTGAACAAATTAGTTTGATCAATGAAGTCAAGCATGTTTGTGGTACGTGAGGATGTTGTGCAACAGTGAATGATATGTGTGAACTTGTAGTACCAACAATGTGGAGGAGTGGAAGGGTGAATCAGTTTGATTTATAGGTGCAATCCAGTCCAAGTACCATAGGAAAATGGCGAGCAAGATGGATAGTGTTAGGACTTGCAAAAGCCCAGTTGAGCTCAGTGACTAAATCAGAAAAACCCTGAATCAGGGATCTTCCATTAAGCCACCCTTTCTTATGACAAGCACAAGCGTTATAAATATCCCGCACAAGGGGTTTTGCACCACTAGTCACCTCAAGGAGGGATTGAATCTGGCGGGGTTGACATCCTGCAGCAGTGAGTAAGGCAACCTTCTTATTGTTTTGGGTCCAATTTGTCAATATTGGCGTTTGTTGTGGGGCTGGTCAAAGGGAGGGTGATTGTGAATTTTTTTGTGTGGGTTCTTGACCCTGTCAGAAGTTACAACCCATTGTGCCTTGGAAGAGTGATGATTAAGAGACACCTCAAATGTGCATCCTGTCTTCTTAGATGAAGTCAAGCAAGCCTTGTCCTTGTCCTCCTTTTCCTTAGAGTTGATGGTTTAGATGGGAGTTTTGAGTTTGACATGGCTGCTGGCCTTTGAGCACCCAAGGTAGGTCCAGATAATCCGTTGATTTTTGGTCTTGTGGCTTTTGATATATACCACATATCCTTGATTCCGTGCAACGGCATTTAAATACATAAGATTGACTTCCTTTTTGACAAATGGCTTCCCAATCTTGGGTGATTCCATTTGGCGTGCTGGTTCAAAACTTGAGTCAAAGAAGCTCATTAATGTTAGTATTATGACAGTGATCTATGTGAAGTTAACATCAATCATACCAATAGGGGGAAATCATTGTCTTGCTTGGACTCAAATTCTTAATCTAGAATTCCATTGTCCACTCGATTGGTCTATGTGGGGACAATAAGCAAAAAAAGGCCAGTCAACCTCCTGTAACACATAATGTAAAGAGAAAACATGGAAATGAGTTGACACAACAAAACCTGGACAGACAGGTTGGAGTGAGCCTAAGATGACTCAAAGATGTTACAAAGAAAAGAAAAGGGCAGAGGAAACTTGATGCCTTACCTGTGAGGACACAGGAATGAAAATGTGGGTAGGGAAGTCTATTGTAACAAATGAGTACTGGTCCAGGTGTGTAAAATGAAAATGAGTCAAAAGAGTCAAAAGAATAAAAAGAACTCACTCTAAGGGCGCGTTTACTTAAGGAATTTCTGACCAGAAATCACATTCTGTAAAATTTTTAATGCAAAAATGAAACATACACCACCAAATAGACACTTTAAATTTTACAGAATGTGATTTCTCACCAGAAATTGCTCAAGTGAACGCGCCCTAAGTGTCCAAGTTCCACACAATGAGGAGGGAACAAGGAGCTTGAAAGGCTCAGAGTATAAATGAAAAAGAAACATGCGCACAAATTCTGCTCAGAAGCAAGGGGTGGCAGATGAAGACACACTTGCAGTACAAGTAACACTAGATGAATTAGTTCAGCTCTTGAAAAGGAAATCATAATCACTACTAACTAGTAGAGACCATTATCCTCCACTTCAACCATTTCCATATCAGGATACTTGCACATGATGGACTTGAATAATATCACAACACATAAGACATAAATTTGTACTAAACAGACCTGTTGGGTGATTAGAAGATGTTGTGGTGTGAAGAGCAGATGAAGCAGGTGTAGGCGGAAAGTTTTTATTGTCTTTCAAGCCGTTAGGAAGTGAAGGATGTGGAGGTTGAAGGACACAGATAGGGGAAGGAGGTGCGATACAGGGGATTAGGGATGAGCACTGGTTGTGCTGGGTGTTCAGTTGGAAGGCCCAGCTGACAATGTTTCTGGCCAAGTGCAGATATAAGAAGGGATGTGGATATTCAAGCCCAGGAGGTGGGTAGCAATAGTTTGGATGAATGAAAGGTTGTGTTGTGTTGTTACTTTGGATTGAGCCAATTGAGGTTGAGGCCATTGCAGAGCGGGACATATCATAGTGGTTTTGCTTGGACATGGCATTAAAGATGAGAGTTAACACCAAACAGGGATTGTTGGAATGAGGGAGATGGAGAGTCAAACTTAAAGTAGACGATTGGGATGGCTGTAATGTGGATTGGAACAAGCAATCAGTAGAGGAAGGCTTGACTCTGATAGTTCTTGCTCAACAGGAAGGAGCAGAAGGAGGGAGGGAAGGAAACGTACAATCATGAGACACATCATCTTGTGTTGATGTGCCTTGAAAGGTGGTTGGTTTCCCTGCATACAGGGCAGAGGCTGGGTGGTTGTGGTTAGTTTGGTTTGCTGTGGGTGGTTAGTTCAAAGGATGGAATAATTCAGTGAAGTGGCTAAGTTTGTTATTGTGATGCCACCCCTGTGAAGTTGAGGAATGGGGATGAATAGCCCAGTATTCTCATTGGGGGCTATATTTCCCGCACTGTATCTGCCCAGTGTACTGCCAGGGGTGTGTGTTGTAGCCTAGATTGGGTTGGTACCACACGGGTATCTACAGGTATTAACCCCAAATAAGTGGGTGTTGGGTTTTTCATCCTGGGCAGGAAATAGTGGTTTCCTTAGTTTAAGGGTATTCTTAAAAGAAAGAAAATGTTTCAGTTTATGGTCTATTTTATTTAACATAGTTTATTTTGCTTTAGTTTTTTGGTTTAGTTTATGATTTATTTTATGTGACATGGTTTATTTTCTACAGTTCTTTATTTTAGTTTATTGTTTTAATGGTTTATATTTATCAAATTTATATTTATGTTTCTTTGGGTGGTTTACATTTTTTTAGTTGTTTGTGTTAGCTACATTGTGTTGTTGTATGGACCACTAAAGTATACAACTAAACCTGAATTCAATACAAAATGGGTAGATTTCCATTGGACTGAGATAAGCCTCTCTTAGGTATTATCCTAGATGAGGATGGTGTCCGGTATTTTCAAAGTCTTCATAATCCTCCCTATGCATCTTTCCCTTTTGTGTCATAAATATAGTGATCAAACCTCCATTCCTGAAGATGCAAGGATATATGAAGAGATATATTACAAAGATAGTTTCATAGTTTTCAACTGTGGAAATGGGACTCCAAGTTTTGAATCCAAAAGTTTTTGCACACAGAACAAATCAAGTTTTGATACCATATCCATTGCCAAAGTCATGACGCTGTAAATTTGTCACCTGAATTGAGAATATTCAAAAAGTTGATCAGAAGAGGAAACCTGAGTCCGTACAGGCATACATAAAAGGTACATGGTCATAGAATGAAGAAGGGAAAGGCTAAAAATGTAACTGTATCAAGTGATCTTCACAACAAGGGAGAATGTTATAAAAGTGAGAGGAACATCATATCAGGCACAATGATGATCTCAAGTCTTTCAGACTTATCCCTCACTGAACATTAAATGCACACACATAAGAAGATGTGCTTGCACTCAAGCGGATTATATCAAATTTTGGAGATGAGAGCTCAGGTTTGAAGTGAATCCAATGAAGAAGATACATGTCATTATTATAAGATGTAGAGTGCAAATAGATAAATACATTGGATTGAGAAGAATGATTTGAGATTTGAAAAGATGGAACAGATTCAATGGAGAAGAAATGCTGAGGTATATTAAAGGTGGCACTATTACTGATATATTGATGAAAAAATAACTAAAAAACTTCAATTGAGAAAAGTCACATAATAAGATACAAACTTCGCAAATATGATGATAATTATCAAACAAAAAGATGAATGATATTTGAGGCCAGTGATCATCATCCACAGGGAGTTTTTGAAGATGAAAAGTGTGTCATGCCATATAACGACATCACTTCTTTGTTCACATCACACTTGGCAGGTTACATTTTTCGGCCTCACTGTTGATAGTTCTTTGGTGTTCAAAGTTCTCTCCGAATTAATCACTGACTTAAATTTCAATGAGTATAAGAGACAGCTTACAATACCTGTGCGCCGAGTGTCCAGAGGAAATTCCTGACGCGAGTTTTGTTCTTCGTTGTATATCGCTGGATATCCTCGACTTGACTGTCCCACCTGTTCGAAACTGGAGGAGAGAGGCCATCCGGACATGATCTTAAAATCTGTCGTCCGATGAGTCGTAGGAGACCAAAAACTCGTGCTTGGCTGTGCCTGTAGATATTCAATAATTTGGTCAATCTTTGTTACATCCTTGAGAGGGAAGATGTAGAAGCTGGCTTGAAACCTCACCTGTGGAAATTGGTACGGCGGATGGTAAGGAAAGTCAACCGAAGGAAAGAGGCGAGGCGAGGGGAAAGCGTTGTTGGTCAAATCACATCCATAAAATGGAGTCTGGATTGAGTTTGATGGTGGACCACAAGGGATTGGAAACGAGTTCGGATTTGACGAGTTGTTAAAGCTGAGGATCCTATTCGGGAACGCTGAGCCTGCCCTATTTTCCTTCGTAGGGCTCGAAGCATCAACAGAATCCACAGCTTTTCGAGCGGCTGGACGATTCTCCAAGACTTTCTTAAAAGTAGCATCGCAAGCCAGTCGGATAACAGAGGTATCCAGCTCCTTGACAATCTCATGTATCTCCGAATTCTGGGTGGCATTGGCGTTGTTCAAATAGTGATCTAGCCTGGTGTTGCTGAGACCCGACTTCCTCAGTTCGTGGGCAGCTTTCAAGAAGTTCTGCCATTCAAGATCGCTTCTCATGGCAGGCAGATGACTTAGGACCTGACTTGGGAAAGGTAGTTCAGGCGTGCAGGCATGAAGTGTTAGCAAGTCACCGGTGATACAAGCACCGTACCAACTTGCTGTACAATCATCGAACGCCATGCTGTCACCATCAGGAGCTGGTGAGAGGAGCTCTGAAACTGATGGTAAAAAAGGGAAGCACAGGGTTAAACTCGGATCAGGGACATGAGTTCTTTTCTGATGCACACCGACTTGTTGAGATATACTCACTACAAGGCTGAACTTTTTTCGAGTTCTTGATGACCTGGATGTGGCTTGACACCTGTTTACGATCGCGCTCAATGCCCGTCCTTCGATAGATGTAGTCCGCTATCAGCTCATTCCTCCCGAACGGCCTTTTCCCTTCCGGTGTCAAAGCTAGTAGTTTTGCACGCCCCAGCCTGGGTATAGTCCTGATCGCTGGAAAACACAATGGATATCGTCAATAGTGTCCATGGCAGGTAGATTGGGGTGGAAATTTACCTTCTTCAAATGCCAACAAAGTCTCCTGACACCATGTATTGCGATCTCTCGGATTTGATGCTCGGCTCAACGACTTTTGCCTCAAATACCCGATGATCATGAGTGCTTCGTTGAGACTTTCGGTAACAGATAACGATAACATTGGGACATGTAACATAGGTTTGGCAGCTGACTCGTACTGGGAAGAAGACTTCCTCGGAGTCGAGATTGGAGTCGAAGACACAGAGGGTGTGTCTTCCACGGAGCAATTCCGGGTGGCAAGGGGAGACAGAGCTGGTACGGAAGATTTGTAGCGCCTTTCTTTTTCTGAAAAGGAACGGCGAGAAATTTCGGGGGTGATAACGTCATTGTAGCTCGAGGATGAGCCTAGAATTGAATCTGGGCTCATGAAGGTGAAGTTGGATTCCCCCTGATTAGAGGTTGGGGAATGGAACATGGCCTCTGTAGAATCCAGCACCCGACTTCGCTTGCCTCGAATAGGTTCGGGGTGATCAACCTCAAGGTGATCCTCAATCACGCTGCGTGGGCGCTTGGTAGCGTAGCTCACTTGGTAGCCTGTGAACGGCATGGCGTCGGTGAATTGTGGACCCAAAGGTATCATCGGGGCGCCAGAGATGTTTGTTGATGTCCTGTATGGCTTGAAGGCCGGCGGTAGAAATTGGCCAGTGCTCTTGACGGCGGTAGGACTCTGCAAGACGTTTGAATAGGGTCCCTCAAAACTCATCATGGATGGAAAAGTTGATGAGAAGCTCATGATGATAAACTATGACAATGCTTGTGATTGAAAATTCGTGAGGGTGTTTATGAGATCAGCAAAGGGCCATGTAGTGTAGGATGAAGCAGTTCATGCTGAGAGTAGCAAATCACTCACACGCAAGATTTCCTAGCGCAACTGGCGTTCTTCTCAAAACTATTTGGGGGTGGAGATATGATTTTCGGTGAATGCGATATTGATACCTTGCTAGGGAGAAGTCTTCCTTTGTGCCTCGAGTATGAGCTTGATGGTCGGGCGTTGGAATAATTATCGTCGAAGGAGATGTGCAAAATTTTCAGGTTGGAATAGAGGAATGATTTGTTATTAGGGTGGGTTGATGCAGAATTATCGATTGGATATTATGATGGGGATAATGTAAAGGAGCGCAAAGTAAAATGAGAGACGAGCAAAATTTAAAGAGTGTCAAAAGTAAAGATTGTGCAAAAGACTGCTATGGATAATGAACGAAGAGAAGGTACTCAAACAATGGAATCAAACATATTCACTTTGCCCAGGTTCCCGAGTGCCTTCAAGACTTGGGAGGATTACTCAGGGTCTGAAGTTGATTGAAGAATGATCGAACAAGTCCATTGTTGCCAGCGGTATACATACTTTGAACTCGCATTTCATTCTCGATCCAGTATTTCTCCGTGTCCTGCTTGTCTACCATTCTTGTTCTTAGCCCTGGTAGAGTGATTCTATACGGATGCCAATGCAATTAGACGCCAGCTTGTATACTCGTCTTGTTCTTAGACCCCTTGATCAGATGAGCCAAGGTAGGCGCAGATTAAATCCAGCAATCCTAAAAAGCTGATAATGTCTCTGAGTGAGTTATAAGTCAAACCTAAAACAAAGCTGGTGCAGTGGTTGGCTACCTGCGTTATCCTTGGGAAGGGATTCAGAGAAACCTACCGAGACAAAAAAATCATGAAGATCTCCTGAACGATACATCTCCATATCAAATTGGCACCAATCACTAGTTAGCCGCTCGGTAATTTTTAGTGTGACTGTGGCCCACGATTTGACGTGGAGGTCTGGTCGGCCTAGACTTGAGCTCGAGCTTGCGAGCAAATATGACCCAGTCGTACCAATACAGTGCCTTGCAGCCGAGAGCTTCGTACACGTATGTTGTAGCAGCAGATCTCAGTCCTCATGGGCTCAAGACCTACTCAAAGTTAGCGCTTGACCTCGAAAGCAGGAAGCCATCAGCATTTCATGAGCTTTCACAAGGATAGTACTGTGAAATCCACACCGCCGATTAGATCCAAGGTGACGGGTACAGCGCCCGCTGCAAGAGTCAGGTCTTGCGAGCGACATGCGTCTCCACCTATGTACTCTGGACTCTATGACCACCAAAGAAGCTTCATGCCCGTGATATTGCCAGCCTCTTTCACTCACAAAACCTTTACTATATAGTCTGGGCTTTTTGGGTCCCTTTGAAAAGACAAAAAGACAGGTGGCGACTGTGGCAAGCAGCTTTCAAGTGGATTCGTCAAGCATGGTATCACGTTGCTGTGTATACCGACTGTGGGTATACCAGCAGCCGACACCGACTCATGAAGGGGATGACCATAAGTGTAAGCACAGGTTGGGTGCAGAGCTTGTAAGCCTAGGCTTGGTACGCTTGTGGCAGAGATCTGGGTCTGGGGCTTGTAGTATGGTACGCTTATAGTATATACAGATCCATGATTCACTAGAATCATACATTGGGAGTCGGAACATCAGAACAAGGAAGATTGAGGGGTGAAGAAGGCTTCAAGAGGTACATGCGAGCAATGCAAACGGAGCCCTCCCCTCACTACATCGAACATTATGCGAGATATCGTTGAAATAACGCAATTGATCATATCATTATCTATGTGGGTGGTAATAAGAAATGAAAATGGCCGCTCAGGTAGACTTGCGAGCTTTCTTCTTCTTTGGCTGATTCTTTGATTTTGGCATCGATATCTGTATACCAACAGATGAGGTCTCGGTCAGTTTCTTTAAAACAGTGGCTGATATAGAACGGCTTACCGTTTCAACTCCTTCAGTTTTACTTTTGTCTGAGGAGTCCTGTGTGGAAGTCGTAGTTTTCGTAGCACTTGCCTCTGGCTTATCGATAGACTTGGCGGGTTTTGAGGAGTCCTTGGATGAACAATAGCCAGGGTAGTCGTAAGAGATACCTAGGGTCTCCAAACGTTTACGCTTCAAAGTTTCTCGTTCAATCAAACGGTCTGTAATTACACGCTGCTGTTCCTCGGATTTTGGCTACAAGATACAAACATTTTATCAATACAAGGATCTTGAAGGCGACCAGTGAAGGGCCAAAGGGACGATTGTCTTACCTGGTTATGCTTTTCTCTTGCGACCCGTGGCTTCCAATCTTTTCTGAACTTGCGATTATTTCCGAGCCACAACCTCGGGTGAATCTCATCCTTCTCCAAGAGTTGACATTGAAGCATATTGCCACACAAGAGATAATTGTGTAGTGTCTCTGCCACGATCTCTGCCACCTCTTTATGTTTGAATTCAATGAAACCATAATGCTTAGACTTGCCCGTCCGGCGATTACGTGAAAGTCGGACCCGTCGTATCTCCCCGAATTGACTGAAATATCCTTTCATTTCCTCTTCGTGGAAACCGTGTGGGATCCGACCCAGGTAGACCACACCAGTATTGTCGATCGACTATAGCAGAAGACACGGAAAGTAGCGTGAATGGATGTCCAGAAAAGAGTGTTAAATCAGAGGGCAATAACAAACTGCATCATCCCCCTTCCCGCATGACTTTTGCCGCTTGCTGGCCTTGGGAAGATCCTTCAGGTCGAACGCGGATGTCTCAGGGAGTGATTCCTCGTCATCATCATCATCAGAGCTATCGTCATCACCCTCAGCCGATTCGATTTCGAAGCCCGTGAGTAGAGATGCGTCCTCAAGATCTTCTGTGACTTGCTGTTCAACACGGACCGGTGACTTGGTGGACTTGGTTTTGGGAGTGGAGGGTTTTGTTTCTTTCGAAATGCTAGCGAACTCTGAAGACTCTTTAATCTGTACTTTGGAAGACTTTTTCTTGAGTGAATTGGGGAGCTTCTCGGTGTGGGAGTCTGACTTCTTCAGTGCGCTTTTGACCGGCTTTGTCGACTTTGACTTGGATGAAGAGACTTCCGATGAAACATCCGGCTTAGATCCGGTAGGAGCCTTGATATCGGAGGCGGGTTCTGCTGCCTCATGTTCTTTGAGCTTCTTGTTATTCGAATTGTTGGGACTGGCCGATTTCGACGGCTTTTTTCGACCGGCACCTGTTGACAGAGACTTTCGTCAGCGGCAAGTTTTTAATCCCATAACGGAGTTAAGTGCGTAAGAGCAATCAGAGAGTTGGGCTTACTCTTATCTGCTTTCTTGGTTTCAGTTTTCGTCTTGGACATTGTGAGTTGGTTGGTGTGAGTGATGGGAATGATGCACTGAAACTTGAGTTTTACAAAAAATTAGACTGCACCAAGTAAAATTTGCGGTTGACAGGTTGTCGACATCAGACTGCCCACATTTTGACCTAATCGTAGATTTCACAAGTATCAGGTCTCCCCTGTCAACCACATGTCATCACATCTCGATCATCCATGCAGAAACCCAAACTATCACAATTCACCACGGACAAAAATATGAGTGCATAGAGTATAGAAGTTCTTGAAGCAGGGATTAGTCCCAAAAAGTGCTTAGACATCTTTCAACCTACATAATTCCATACCTGATAGGCAAACTATCTTTTGGCTTTAAGGGTTTACGGTCAATCCTTGAGGTTCTGTGAAAAACCCGAGAAAGTTTTCCTTGGAATTAGGAACATCAAGTTTTAGGATACACCACTGCCAGCATTAAAGAGGTTCCCAGATGGGAATATGGGTCCTAGTGATCACATTCCCATCCTGCTACTGTTACACAGCTCCATGAATATTTCCTGAGTAGCCATTGATCGACCCCGGTCCATGTCACAAAGATCTCACTGAAAAGGCTAACGCGTGATTGGTAACACACGTTAGGGAGAAGAGCCCTGAGGATCACCTCATCAGAGCGTTTGTGATGAGCCCGTCGCGCCCTGAACGGTTGATCCCTCCCATGTCTTGGTTCAGGGGTGAGTTCTGTCTCCGTCCCTCTGATGAACGAAGACTCTCACAGCTTTCTCTCTTCTCACCTCATCCTGCTCGTCCCTTTCGTTTCTCCAGAGATCTCACTCCTAGATCCTTACTTTTTTGAACCCACTTGTCTTTCAGACCCCTCCCACCCTTGGTTCAAAGGATCTAACCCGAGATCTCTCTCGAGGACTTCAGTCTAGCGTGTGAGACGCTAAGACTGGGATCGCTGAGTGTTGTTACACCCATCGCTGAGCAAGCCTCACCTTCTCCTGAAGGCAAGTCTTGCGCCACAGCATCTAATACTTAGCGTATTTATGAATCTATGAGGAGGGCCGCCAGCCCTCTCATTTCTCCGGAAGGAGCTTTCTCCTAAAAGAATGGATCTCCAGGAGAATGGAATATGTAGTCAATATTTTGAGATGTGTGGCTCAATCTGAACAAAGTTACAGCATGTATTACACATGAACTTCTTATCTAGATGAGCAGATAACTGAGCGGACCTGTATGTAGCTGATAGCTGAGCATTTACTCAGATGTTTGCACATATGTAGTGTATGCTTTATGGCTCAGATTTGCAGTGCAAGATGATTTGATGCACCATTGAGGTTCTGTGAAAAACCTGAGAAAGTTTTCCTTGGAATTAGGAACATCAAGTTTTAGGATACACCTTCTTTCATGATCTTGGAAAAAGCACACAAGATTTCCTAGGATTTAGGCTCGAAAAGATCCAGTAGGATAAAAACCTTGCAACAGATAGCTAGGCTCAAGAAGTCTAGCTGCCTCTGTGACACATTGATTAGGAAGTGAGAGGACAGAGTTAAATAAGCAAGACTATCTTTATCAATTTGAAAATATTGGTGAATAATTCTTGTTGGAATTAACATTCCTAGTTTTCTTAGAAACTTAATTTTCTGAATGTTTCCATGGAATCATAAGCAGTGATCAAAAAATCCACAAGGACCTGGAAAGTGACTGGATTCATATAAGTTCAGTCTGTTAAGGCCTCGGTGTGGGGTTCTCGGCGGGGATCAAGGTTGGGTGTCTAATAAGCTATGCAGATTGTCGTATGAAGAAGAAAGAGAAAAGACAACTGTGGTTTGTACAACATAGTCTAATCTCGTGTCTGTGACATCTACTACCCGGTATTTCACTAACAGTTACATGTCTCTTGAGGATCGTAACATTATCCCCCTTTTTACGCCCAAACTCCCTCTTGCAAGTTCTGCGTTCCTTCCACGGGCAGCGTTAAAAAACCCAGTGGGAAAAAGCTTGCCCTCTCTCATTTTCTCCTTGTCCTTTTGTATTTACTTGCTGCATTTGGGAATTTGATGTTGAATTCATTCACTAAATCTTTGCTATTTGATAAATTTTCCTCAGGTTCCCATGAATTGTGTTCAGTTCCAAACCCTTTCCAGCTGACTAAATATTCCTTCTTCCTATACCTTTTTCTACAGTCTAATATTTCTAATACTTCCCATTCTTCATTTCCTTCCATGATTGTTGGCTGCGGTTCGGATTCCTGACGACCTTCAATACCGTCTGTTTCGTGTTTTCTAAGTAGAGAGACATGGAATACTGGGTGTATACCCCTCATTGACGTAGGTAAAGTCAGCTCATATGCGGATCTTGATATTTTCTTGGAGATGTTAAAAGGACCCATCCACTTATGATCTAATTTAGGACTAGGCCTTGTCGTCGAAAGGTTCTTGTTGTTGAGCCAAACCTGGTCGCCAATCTTCCAATCGGGGGTTGAGCGGATGCCCTTGTCGAACTGAATTTTCATCTCTTCCTGTGCTGTCTTCAAACACTCAGTCAGTTCCGATTGTACATTGATTAGTTCTGTCAGTCTTTTCTCTACTGAAGGTATACATTGTTCTGCGGAGGGGATACCACTGAAACTAGGATTATACCCATAGTTTGCTTTGAACGGCGAGACTCCTGTCGAAGCGTGGTCCTTGTTATTGTACGAGAATTCGGCGATGGGTAAGAGAGTCTCCCAGTTGTCCTGTCGGTAGTTGACAAAGTGTCGAAGGTACTGCTCTACAACTTTGTTGACAATTTCGGACTGACCATCGGTGCGCGGGTGGTATGCTGTGGAAGGTTGTAATCGAATGCCTAGTCTCTTATCCAGTTCCTTTGTGATCTGAGAAATGAAGATGCTCCCTCTATCCGATGTGATAGTTCTGGGGGTGCCATGTAATTTCCATACGAATTTCACCATTAAGTCTGCTAATGTTTCTGCTGTCATGGATTCGTTGCATGGAATAAAATGGCTCATTTTCGTGAGGCGATCGACTACTGTGAGTATACTGTCTTTTCCGTTGGAAAGTGGCAGTCCGGTAATCAAATCGTAGCTGATGTCGACCCATGGTCCCGCTGGTACTGGTAGAGGCTCGAGAGATCCAAATGGCTTTTGAGTACTTGATTTGTTTCGTAGGCAAGAATCACATCCATCTACATATTTGTTTGTGTACGCTTTCTGGCTTGGCCACGTGAAGCTTCTCTTCACTAAACTAAGTGTCTTCGCCCTGCCCGGGTGTCCCGCTAGTAGACTATCGTGGCGACTGCGTAGGATTTGGCGTTTGATCTCGTTGTTGTTTGGCACTTCGATTCGCCCTTGATTATACACTATTCCATTATGTACTCTATAGTTGGCCGTTTTTTGACGTATTGCTGTAGATATGGGATTGGAAATTGCTTGTATAAGTTCCTTCAGTCTTGGATCATCATTAGTAGTCTTTCTGATTAGGCCTATGATATCTTCGTCGTTGAGGATGGGGTCGGTTGGTGTCTCATTGTTTACTCCCAAGACATCTACTTCGAACCAATGCTCTGCATCTGGTAGTTCAATCTCCTCGTTCTCAAAACAAGATTCAATACTTGCAACCTCGGGTTGAAAAGTGTCGGGTGTGATGTTTTCCGGTCTAAGCAGTTGACCAAAAGTTAATTTTTCGTCATGAGTTGGCGCTAGGTCTGGTCTTCTTGACAGTGCATCTGGTTTAGCGGCTTGTTGTCCTGGGCGGAATTTAATTTGAAAATCAAAGCATCCTAGAGTCTCGGCCCATCTAGCTTGGCGTCGGGTTAATTGTTTGGTAGTCATGAATGATTCAAGATTGTGGTGGTCCGTATATACTATGACGTCCAATCTATTCGGGTTTCCTTCTAAGTAGTGCCTCCACTCTTTAAAAGACGCCACAATAGCAAGGAGTTCCTTATCAAATATTTCATAATTCCGTTCCGCCTGTGCCAATGATCTGGATAAGTATGCAACTGGATGTAGTTCATTGTCGTCCTTGCTGATTTGGGATAGTACGGCGCCAATTGCAAAATTGGAACAGTCACATTCCAGTACAAAAGGTTTGTACGGATTTGCAATCTTCAAAACCGGTGCTGACGTGAAAGCATTCTTCAATTCTTCAAATGATTTCTTGCACTCGTCATCCCATAAGTAAGGCGTTTTATGGCGTGTCAGATTATGCAGGGGTCTGGTTGTCTGTGAGAAATGGCTGATGAATCTTCGATGAAAATTTGCAAATCCAATGAATCGTTGGAGCTCGGTGACGTTTCTTGGGGCTGGCCACTCGGATACGGCTCTTACTTTAGTAGGATCCATCTTGATCTTGTTGCGTGATATGACCAGGCCTAAGTACTCGACTTCTGATTTTGAGAATTCGCACTTCTCTGGTTTAAGCCATAGTTGGTGTTTATCAAGGATCTCTAGTATCTGTAATACAACATTTTCGTGCCGCACCCCCTTTTTTGTATAGATCATAATATCGTCTAAAAAGGCAGCCGCGTCTTTTCCAATATGTTGGAGCAGTATGTCTTGCATGAAATACTGGAAGTATCCAGGAGCTCCCGTTGGTCCAAAAGGCATTGTCAGGGGGGCAAACTGACCTGCTCTGCAGATGAAGGCGAGTTTATCCTCGTCTCCTTCAGCTACTCGTAGGTTACCGTATGCATTCCGTAAGTCCAGTTTGGTGTACTTGTCAGCGTCGAGGAGACTGTCCACCAGATCCATGGTTAAGGGCAGCGGATATTTGTTCTTAACCGTCACGGCGTTCAGTTTACGGTAGTCGAAGCAGGGTCTTAGATTTCCATCTTTTTTCCCGGTGAAGAGCACCGGAGCTGCCCAGGGTGAGGTTGTACGTCTGATAGTACCATTTGCCAGGCCAGTGTTTATCATTTTGTCTAAAGTCTGAGTTTCAGCTGGGGATAATGGTATTATCCTGCTAGCTTGAGGTTGCGCTCCTTCTACCAGCTCTACTTTGAAGTCATATTTTCTTCGAGGTGGTAGGCATTGAGCATTGGATTTCTGAAACATGCGGATATACCGATGATAAGCTGTTGGTACTAGCTCTTCCACTGATTTAGTGGGTATGTTCTTTTTTTCATCGGCTGCTAGACAAGCAGAAGTCGACCACGAGGCTTTCAAGGAGCTGATTTCGGTGGGACTGTTATTTAGGGAAAGAAAAGGCTTGCCAGCTGATACGGGGGATGGGTTGAGATGAGACGAGTCGAACTCACATTGCGGGGGCTTATGTGTACTTTTTACAATACACGCCCCCTCGTCATGTTGCCTTGCGTGCCCTGTGGGCTCCTCCAGTGGACCTTCAGGGTTATGTTTCGGCGTAGACGAGGCTGGATCATCAGCCGCAATGCAGTCTCCTTCAGTTTGAGTCTTGATGTCGGGCGTTAACAGGTTAGAGTGTGTAATCGTGCCTTCGGTGAGGTTGTATTCGTTGTTTGTCGTACTGGATTCTAGCTGTTGTAGAAGAGAATCATGCTTGCCAACACCTTCGGGTGAATCTGATTGAGGTAATAGATTAAAAGACTCACTCTGCGGGGATGTTAACGTGTTATCAGTAACACACATCCCCTCGTCACGGTACCTAGCGTCCCTCGGGTGTTCCAACTTGGGATCCTTGGAGGGTTTTGATGGTCCAGACGACTCCACTACTGTGGAGGCAGCAAAAACATTAGCTGTGGTGATGATACCACTACTCCAGTCAATCCTGTGACTGTTCGCGCGGATCCATGGAATGCCTAGGATACCGTCATACGTATTCTTAAGGTCGGTGATGATGAAGTTGGTGGGTTGGGTGTCGCGTTCGAGGTAGAGGTCCAGTTCATGTGAAGATCTTGATCTTGAACCATTGAATCCTGTGATGTCGCGTGAAGTGCTCACTCCTAGGTGTAAGATATCGGCTTTTCTTGCAAATGATTCTCCCAACACATTGTGGGTGGCACCTGAATCAATCAGGAGGCGGGCTGATGGGTAATACGATGGTGTGGCGCGTGGATTTTGGGTCAGGGAAAAGGTAACTGAGAGGAATAAGCGTGGGTCGCTCGTATTGCAAGTTACAACAGTGCTAGTTCCTAGAGCTATTGAAGCACCCAAATCCATACTGCTCAAGCTAGGCACAACCGTCAAGCTTGAGCGCCTCCATTTTTTGAAACATCACTACGACTAGAACCCTCTGCCCGATCCTTCACTTCATTCCTACTATCATTCAAAGCAGCTAGCTTCACCTCTAAATCAGCAATGCGACTACTGTAACCCCCATTTCCTCTTCCTCTACGATCACCCGTTCTACCAGGACAAGCATTGGCACGGTGGCCTCGTGCAGCACATTTGAAACAAGCACCAGTACGTAAACGATGAGATCGTTCTTCATCGGATAGTCGAGTAAACGAAGATGAGATGTCCATCGCATTGGGGTCTCGAGCTGGTGTTGATACAGTGGTCGAAGTGTCTGCTGTACCGTGGATTTTGTTGTCCAGTTTGATCGCGAGGTTGGCTATTTGCTCTACTGAAGTGAACTCATCTTGAACTAGTACCATAGCTACTCTTATGTCTCGTTTCAGGCCTTGTTCAAACTGGCTGATCAGTGTAGGCACTTCCCAGCCTGTGTTAGCAGCGTGTAAGTTAAACTCATAGGTGTACGCTGCGACAGTGGATTTCTGGGTAAGGGATCGTAATGCCTTCTCCGCCTTCGACTTCTTTTCGGTGTCGAAATACATCGCTTTAAAGTTACGCACGAACCGGTCAAACGTGACTAAATGGGCAGTGGAGTCGTCAAGTAACTCTGTCATCATCGGTTGGGCCCATGAACTCGCAGTACCCGTGAGGTATGATAGCGCGAATACGACCTTAGTACGGTCGGTGGGGAATAGATGAGGGTGTGCCAACATATACAGTTGGACTTGGCTGGCAAAGACTTCAGCTGGGCCACCTCGATTGCCATCAAACTTGTCGGGCGTGGCGACCTTAGGCCCTTTGGGATTTGGGGTCGTCTCGTGTTGTGGCACTGTAGGAGGTGCTGCATTCCCCGCATTAGTGAAGGTATGCGAAGTAGTGTTACGAGAAGACTCGATAGCGGCTAATCGCTCTTCCGCCTGTCTACTGCGGGCTTCGGCTTGTTCTCGAAGGCGACGTTCTCCGGCTAATGAATTCTGGAGTTCAGTTAACTGACGCTGGATTTCCTCCATCTCATCGACCGTAAGTTCAGTGACAGGTGGTGCTTGGTTGGTGTCGACAAAGGATTCCTCACGATCACTATCCGGATCGTCGTCGTCGAGCAAGGGAGATCTGTATGAGGGAGACGTGATCGATAGAGTTCTGCGGAGGTAGTTCGGTGTTAATCTTCAGTGGTGCGTTCAATATCAAGTATAAAGTTTCAGTTCAATGATTTTCTAAATATGATCTAATCTATCCTTCTTGTTGTTTCTAATCTTATTCGAGTTCAATTTCAATTCTTAAAGTTTCTGATTCTAGTTCTTCTGATCTGTTGATGCCCGCTTGTTGTAGATACGACAATATGTTAAGGCCTCGGTGTGGGGTTCTCGGCGGGGATCAAGGTTGGGTGTCTAATAAGCTATGCAGATTGTCGTATGAAGAAGAAAGAGAAAAGACAACTGTGGTTTGTACAACATAGTCTAATCTCGTGTCTGTGACATCTACTACCCGGTATTTCACTAACAGTTACATGTCTCTTGAGGATCGTAACACAGTCTTTGGCATAGGGCCACAAGCACCAAAGAGGTATGCAAAATTTGGCAAAGATAAAACATTGGAAGTTTCCAATTAAAGGGGTGACTTTTTCTGTTCAAAGTTCAGCTTTTGACCTATGATTGAGAGAATCTTGACTTTCAGTGGGTTGATTTGCAGGGACATGAGCAGCGTTCATGAACTCACTCATTTCCTTTGTTGGCTACCTGAGCTCTACATGTGCAATCTGTTGCTTTACATCTAGTTATCTTCTTTTGCAAAGGTCAGAAAGCGCTTGTTATTCCAAATCAATATGGGTCATCTTGCTTTAAAATAAACTGTTCCAGGAAAATGGTGGTTTCACCATGCCAGGCCTTGGAGATCAATAATTGAGGGTCATCAGAGGGTATGATGATCCAGATTATGACAGTTGTTCAACCTTTAACTTGAGAAATATCCACAAGCGAAGTTGACGAATATCAAGCTTGCTCAATTCCAGTCAGTTGAGCTTTTGTGCCATCTAGCAATTTGTCACTTCCAAATTCTCCAGACTTGCTTATTGCCGTGCTTCGACTATGCATGACGGTTGGAAGGACCTGTTTCCTTTTCTGGAAATTAATTCTGTACTTCACAATGATCCCAGCCTTGTGGGGTAATTCTGGTCAAGTGGGTGTTCATTGGATCCTTTCCATCAAGACTTCAAATCATGATTTTTGGGCAGCGGTGGGTCACTTAGCTCCAGCATACACTAGAAGTAAACCTTCACTTGATGGTCAGAGAAGTGGATCAATCCATAATTGATTTGAATCTTTTCAAACGCAAGTTGATTGTCAGGCGTGATGGACGACTTTTGGTATATACTTCAGGAATTCTACCCCAATCAAAGTGACTGACTCCAAAATGGCGCTTATCCGGTTAATCAAAAAGCCGGTTCACCATATCAATAGTACTGTGTCCGGTTCATAAATTACTGTTATCATCAACTCACCAATCTTCATTCGATCACAAACTCATCTCATCATGCTACGTTGTCCTACAATCTGGCGACAACAAACCAAACTCGGTTTCGATTTGAGGATAGGCACCAGTTTGCCTGTCCTAACAAATTACACATTCTTCTCTCGATCACTCTCCAAGAAGCCTCGCAAGTCTGATCATCAAAGCAAGGTGTTTGAATCAGCCGATCATGCTGTAGCAGATCTTGTTGGAGACTCTATGCTTCTTTCAGGAGGTTTGTTCACTTCATGATACTTCTCACTCGATTTTCAAAATATTGATCGATCATCTGTTTTATTGGGTTTTTAGGTTTTGGACTCTGTGGCACACCTGATACATTAATCCAAGCTCTAGCCAAGCGTCCAGAAGTCAAAAATCTCACAGCCGTTTCTAACAATGCTGGTGTTGATCATTACGGTCTTGGAACTTTACTTCATTCGGGTCAGATCAGCAAAATGATTAGCTCTTATATCGGTGCGAACAAGCATGTGCGTGAGCATTCCAACCAACAGCACTTTGATCAAATCCATCAACCTGTCATCTAAAAGGCTTTAACGAATCTGATGGTCATGATTATTCGAGAAGCTAGTTTGAAAACCTTTACCTTACTGGAAAAATATCATTAGAACTCAACCCACAAGGTACTCTCGCAGAGAGATGTCGAGCGGGAAGCGCTGGTATACCCGCATTTTATACCCCTACCGGTGGGTTCATGATTTTACAGTCGATCTGGTACGAGGAACGAGATAACTGAAACCGGATGGCTTCGTGCGCAAGCATAGGATTTGGAACACCCGTACAAACTGGTATGATACCCATCAAATACAACCCTCAGGACCCCTCAAAGGTATATCTAGACCCTACATAGCAATCTCGGGAAATCTTGTCGGTCTAGAATTCAGCCGTGCTGACATACCAACCACCTTTCCACTCGACTAGGTTGAGATCCCAGGGAAGCCTAGGGAGGTACGAAGGTTTGATGGTCGTGATTACTTACTTGAAGAAGCCATCAAAGCAGATTACGCATTTGTACACGTTTGGAAAGCCGATAAGTTAGGAAACTGTGTCTTTCGATATGCTGCCCAAAACTTTAGTGGTGTGATGGCACGAAACGCAAAGTTGACGATTGTCGAAGCTGAGCATATTGTTGAGCCTGGTGAAATTGATCCAGGACAAGTGCATCTGCCCGGAATCTTGTAAGCCTTCTTTCTTATCGACTCTCTGTAGCACTCTATTAGATCCCATTACCCCCTCAGAAGAAGGTTGACTCGGGATATTTGTAGTGTTGATCGAATCGTACCAGCCACAGCTGAAAAAAGAGTGGAGAAAGTGGTGTTAAGATCGGAACCAGAGCCAATGACTAACAGTTCACCATCTAAGGAAACCAACCAAAATTCTTCACAACAAAAACGAGAATTGATTGTTCGCCGCGCCGCGAAAGAACTCAAAGATGGGATGTATGTCAACTTGGGTATCGGAATGCCTATGCTTGCTCCAGCCTTTTTACCACCTGGTACACATGTACATATCCATAGTGAGAATGGGATAATAGGTTAGTTCTCAGTCGAATTACTTTTGCGTTGTGCTGATGGCATCTGATGCGATTCATTGGTTTCTTTGAATCAGGCATGGGACCTTATCCAACTCCTGAACAAGTTGATCCAGACATCGTCAACGCTGGAAAAGAGACGGTGACCTTACTACCAGGAGCGTCTACATTTGACTCGGCAGAATCCTTTGCGATGATCCGAGGAGGACACGTGGATGTATCGATCCTAGGAGCTATGCAAGTCTCGAGCTCAGGAGATCTAGCTAACTTTATGATCCCTGGTAAAAGTGTGAAAGGAATGGGAGGAGCCATGGATTTGGTTTCAAACCCAGATGCTACAAAGGTAGTGATTGTCATGGATCATTGTGATAAATATGGTAAGAGTAAGATTTTAGAGAAATGTGATTTGCCTTTGACGGGTACACGTTGTGTGAGCCAGATCATCACAGATTTGGTCAGTCCACTTTCCATACCAGTTTTTTTTACATCTAGATGGTTCAGTGTCTGACTCTCTGGCAATCCACCTTCCAAACAAACCTCTTATGTCAACCTTGTTTGTTCATCACAGGCTGTCTTTGACATTGATCGAGCGGCTGGTCAGATGTGGTTAAGTGAACTTCAACCGGGCGTGAGCTTAGAAGAAGTTAGAGAAAAGACTTCTGCTCCATTTGAGTTAGGTAGTGGATTGAAATGAAGTGAATTGTGTGTGCAGTTGTTATGACTTGTTTGTAAATGTACCCATCAGTTTTTTTGTATTAGGCTTAACAGAGTTGTTTACAAGCAGTATCATTCCCTCTTGCTTAAGTTGCCTTGCAATCGTACTATCAATGTAAGACAATCACCCTTGGCTCTGAAGGAGAAGAGAATACCACGGTAGCTGAAAAGGTATTCTCACTGACACATCTACAATGGGGATTAGCTTGAAATATTGCCAAAATCCATGCTGATGTAGGCGCATGTGTATCTCTCATGGAATCTGTTAACTTGCTGACCATTCTCCACCAACCTCGGGCAAAGAAAGAATTGATCCAACTAGATTTGTTACAGACATTACTTATTACTCATAACCTGAACTCCATGATTGACAACAAGGAAAGTACATGCCGATGGTAAGACTAAAAGTAGACATCATGATGATCCAAAAGTATGACCTTCATTTACCTTATCACCAAGATTGATGGTGATAGAAAATGATGATAATAAGAATCACAATGATAATGCGAAGAAAAAGAAAACTTGAAATCAAACAGATCCTTCTACAATTCCTTTCCTATTTACTATCTCTTCTATTCACAAACAAACAAACAAAACATAAACAAACAAAACACAAATTTCACACAAAGTGATGAAAAGTCAAAAGGACTGAAACCTTCCAGTGAAAGCCAAAAGATGAAAAGCCATAAAAATCATTCATTTGATTTCAATACCAATGTTCTACCCATTGGAACGGTCTTAAACCTAGATTGATCTTGATGATCATCACCTAAAACCAATGAAATAGCCTTTTGAAGATCTTTCAAAGGAGAATCATAAGTTTCATCCGACATCATCCAAGTACCCCAATGAACTCCAATGGCCAACTTAGCTTGAAGTTCCAACATGATCTTAACCGATCCAATCGGATCGGTATGTTGTGAAGATAAATGCCATAAAGGTTCATAAGATCCAATCGGAATCGCTGCTAAATCAAACGGTCCATATAATTCTCCAATCTGATTAAACAGATTCGAACAATATCCTGTATCTCCTACATGAAAGAATTTACTATGATCTCCTAGAACTGCAAACGAATTCCATAAAGATTGATTGGTATCTAGTGGTGTACGAGCTGACCAATGCATGGTTGGACATGCAACTATCCTCATCGGTTCATCGGTTCATCAAATACAGTCAGTTTCTTCAAAACCTTTGATTTGTCGAATTGAAGATCTCAAGACTTACCGACTGTAACCTTTCGACCTGATGAACCAGGAATCTCAACCTGGGTCTTATCCCACCAATTCATCTCTCGAAAATTCGTCACTCCTTGTTGACGAAACCAAGATCCTAAACCTAAAGGGATGATCCAAAGGACAGAATTGGCTAGGTATTGAACCGCTTTCTAAGGTCCGCCGTCATCCAAACCATGATGATCTCAATCACCGGACGAATGCAGTATAGATGGAAAAAGAAGATCCTAGATTACATACGATGTCAAGGTGCTAGAAACCGAACGAAGATTGATGAGAAATCGTGATCATCTAGAAAATGTGGAAATCAAACAAAGCTTTTCAAAACCACATACATCATAGTGCGAATGGCTGACAAGAACCACATCGATCCTTAATAAATCCTTCAACTCGCATGGTGGTGATCGGAGACGAGAAGGGGCCATGAAAGATTCCATAGTTCGAATACTAAAGGTAGGATCTGTTAAGATGCATAAACCTTCGAGTTGAACATAACAGGTACTAAGGATCGTAGGCGATCGACGAAATCAAGGTGAGGAGATGAAGTTTTGTTTTAAAAGTGTTTGATGATCATTCAAGATTCACATACCTTTGTCCGATCCAGGTAAAGGAGAATTGATCAGAGACTCTGATCGGTTGATCTTGACGAAGACTTTGAGATGGAGAAGAAGAGCTAGAAGATTGATCGGATGATGGTTTGGTGGATGAACCGATCTCATTAGATAATCGATCCCAACTCTTACCTAACAAATCATCTGTTGTTTCATGATGATGAGATGAATCAAGGTGAGATGTAAAAGGTTTAGAAAAAAACAAATGTTGCCAATTTGGAGTTTCTTGTGGTAAGGTTTGGGATAAAGTATTCGAAGCATTCGAACCGGTTGGAATCCCATGATTAAAAAAGAATGGACTTCGACCCGTTAAAGGTTTATAAATTAAATGCCAAAATGCCCTATAGACCAGAGAATTACCAAGGATTGAAGATGTTGATCTTTAGAATTCGAGTTGGAATCTGATGTTTTTTTTGGTGGAGATTTGATAAGCTTTTCAAACACTGACCATTCCCAAGCTCCTTGTTCTCTCCATTCTTCAAATGGGTTTTGAAATCTACCACCGATTTGAAGACTAGCATAACGAGTCTTGACGATTTCTTCTAATTGATCTTTATGGGATTGTCTATTATCATCTTCATTAATTTGATGTTTAGTTTGATTAGATTTCAAACGGTTTAAATCAATTTCAAATCTTCTTTTTCGATTCTTAATTTCACGTTTTCGATGAAATTCACAATGAGCTTAATGGAATTGTAGATAGGAAGAAATCAAAAACAAAACAGTTCAGTTTTTGGATGATAGAATAGTAATCAAGATAGAAATGACTTACCATAATAGATCAAAGGTCCTACTGTGACCACAGTCAGGATAGAACAGATTGTAGTCTTTAAGGCTGAGATTGAAGTGTTGATCGAGATTTGTTTTGGTGAGATAAGTGTTGATGACTTGGAAAGGAGATTTGTAAAGAAAATGCTCAACTTGATTGACTCCATCGATCCATGTTTTGCTGAAGAGTTGATTTGATTGATGTGGGTCGAATGGATCGTAAGGTACTCGATGGTGAAGTCGAAATTGGTTGTCTGCTTTGAATTATGAATCTCCAATTGATACAGTCACATGAGTACTCGGCCCTTAAAACATGTTCCTGCCATGAATCAAACGGTTGCCTCTTTAATTCACCATCTCATTCTCACCACACAAACTCAATTCTCATCGATCTTCACCCTTATCCACCATGTACTCTCTTTGGTTCAGGTTGATCCATGCAAAGAATGCTTGCAACTTGCAAATCAACAACACAATAGGATAAACTAGCAGAATGCAATAGTTTTCTATAGTGAGAAGATCCTATGTGATAAGTAAAGTGATCTACAAACTACATAGAAGATGATCAGAGCACACCAGCTGGCAAGATCACGATTCACGCTCGCAAGGAACTTGAACTGTGAACAGAGTTGAAACTTGAAACTGCCTTTGAGGGTTTCTTGAGCCATTGTGGAGACCTGTTACATAGATGACATGTTAGAAATGAAAGGAAAAGTGCCTTTTCTACAGTTTTGGAAATACAGAAAAGTACATTTTATTTGATTTCTTTATTTCGATAAATAGACTGTATAGTCATAGTGATAGTGATTCATTTCTTCTCAACTTCACTTCATCAAGACTCATTCATTCAAGAGACTCTCAAATGGCTTATTATCCTCAGCGACCTCGACCTAATCTAACACCATTACCACCTCAACTGAGAGAACCTAATTCACCAATCCAACCTCAATCTCCATCTCAATCTAGGTATCCTACTACTAGACCTTCACTTCCACCTGTTCCTTTATCTTATTTAAATCAAACTGCAAATGGTATGTAAGATTATCATTCTTGATTGATTTTTGATTTGGTTCATCAAGAATACTAATCTAAACAAAACAGAACAACGAACTTATCGAAATGGATCTCTTACAAACCAACTGGATCATTCATCTGCTCTGACTGCTTCTAATCTACATCATCATCAATCCGATCTTTCTTCTTCTCAACCTAAACCTCAATTACATCATTCTCATAGTAATCGATCAACTCATTCACAACCCATCTCATTCCCTTCTCCTAATCTCAATCCAATTCAATCTCAAGTTCCTTTATCTCCTCTATCTCCTTCATCTAGACCTAAACTACTCACTAATCTATCCAACCCAAACCCAACTCCTCCTTACTCTCCCATCACTCGTCAACAAAGTCCTTCCAGTCGAAAGATCTCAATCCCAGTCGTCGATCTAGAACTGCTTACTCAACAATACGATGATTATTTTCATGTTCATGATCCTTTCAATCAAATCAAATGGTCTGGAAAAGTTTTGAAATTCATTGAAAAGTCTCAATCTGAACCTAAACCATTACCTGAGAATTCAAATGCTACAGCCACTCGGATCTCTGATCCTCTATTAGTTAAATATACTGATATAGCACTCAAGACAATCTTAAAGCATGCATCAGCTAGTCAACCTTTACCAGAAGCACTCTATCTTCGTGCTGATTTAGCTTCGACGGGTTCATTTCCTTCTTATAAATCTAAAGATTTGAAAATGGCCTTTAGAGATTTTGAAGCGGCTGCTAATTTGGGTTATAAACTAGCTTGGTTTCGAATCGGTCGTGAATATGAAGCTTTTGAAGATTGGGATCGTGCTGTAGGTGCTTATGAACATGGGATGAGTCTAGGTGATTGTGCTAGTATTTATGTGAGTTGATCATTATCTATTTCTGAAGACCACCATCTCAAAACTAATCTACTTTTTTCTTGAAACCATCCTTAGCGATTGGGAATGTCATACTTCTTAGGACAACTTCAACTTCCAGCTGATGTCGTCAAAGCTGTGGCTCATTTGAAATCGGCTGCAGACTTGGCAGATGAAGACACTCCTCAACCTGCTTACATTTATGGAATGTTACTGTACGAAAGCTTTTTCTTTTATTTTTGAAGAAGTGCTTTGTTGTTAATGGTTTGGTTTGATTTGGTTTACAGGGCTGGTGACTTTGAATCCTTACCACAAATCTCTAGTGATGTATTGAAACCAAACCCAATCGAAGCTAGACAGCTCATTGAGAAAGCAGCTTTTTTAGGATTTGCTGCTGCTCAATACAAGATGGGATGGTTATATGAGTATTCGCAATTAAGTTGTCCTTTTGATCCTTTGTTATCGGTGGAATATTATACTTCGGCTTCTAAGCAGGTCAGTAGTTTCTATATCTGAATTTTGAATAACAATCGCATGCAGAAAAGGTTTTAACATCGTCTCTTCTTGTGCTACTGTTGAATTACAGGGAGAGATCGAAGCCGATATGGCACTCTCTAAATGGTTCCTCTGTGGAGCTGAAGGTTATTTTTCTCCCAACGAATCCTTAGCCGTCACCTTTGCAGACAAAGCAGCTCGAAGGAATTTACCATCAGCCATGTTTGCTTTGGGATATTATCATGAGATTGGAATTGGAGGAAGACCAGATTTAGATCTAGCCAAGAAATGGTATGAAAAAGCATATCAAGATGGTAATAATCTAGATGCTAAGAACCGATTAGAATGTTTAGAAACTGGAGGAGCAAGACTTTCGAGAAACGAACATGAGAATAATATCGATTTGAAATTAGTTAGAAAACATACACTTGCAGCCCAACGAAGTGGATTTAAACCTTTACCACCATCTAAGAACGAAACGATGAAACAAGTTGAAGAAGTCAAAAGGGTAGCTGAGATGGGAGTTAGGAGACCTGGAGCTTTGTCTCCTGATCAATCTCGTCAATTCGCTTCTCGTAGTCCTTCACCATTACATTTAGAAGATCAAACTCGAAAGATTTCACCACCTCCTTCATTTAATAATCATCAACCAGGACCAGCATCCCAACAATTTCAAGGACGTGGAAGACAACCCTCTAGAGTTCAACTTACAGATGAGGGACCTATGTCACCACCTCGTACAATCACTACCACTACTCAACCTGTGACTACTCCTTCACGTCCTACTAACACCACCACTTTTAATTCGTTTGCTGATATGGGAATCCAAACTGCAAAAGCAAAGAAGACTGAAGATTGTTTGATTATGTAGAAGATTGGATCGATCGATACAAGAGTCATGTTTCTTTTCTTTACTCTCTCTCTCTCTCTCTCTTTTCCTCTCTTTTCCTCGCTTTTTCTTTTTTGACATCTACTTTGATTTTGATGAGTATCATCATTTTTACTTTTCTTTACTTAATTCTCATAAAGTCTTTTTTCACGTTTTTTTTGTGTATCGATCTCTTTTTTTTATAAAGTATGCAAATCGTTTTGTTAGTTTTTTTTTGCTTTCCTTTTGATTAACAAATTCAGAAATCATCTTTAGTTTGTTACTCGACGGCTTTTTCTTTTTCTTTCTTTCTTTCTTTTTGGTTTTTTAAAACTTATGTAGCTCATTTCTTTTTGGTCGGTGTTTTCTCATTTGATTGTAACTCTTCTCTTTTTTTATATGTATGTGTGTGTTGTGTCAGTTGTTTGGTTTGGCAGAAAAAAACGGTAGAAAAAAAGATTTGTGGTAGGGTTTTTATTTTATGAATGAATTATTTACAAGATAGCAAAAGCAAAAGCAAAAAAAAAATGAAATTATTTTGAACATGATTTGAAGTTGTACCAGAAAGAAAAGAAAGGAAGTCATGAAAAAATGAAGTTGGTTTGTTTGTAAAATGTGTTTTTTCTTTCTTCTTTTTTGTAGTGGGTTTCTTTTTTTTAGTTTTTCTTTTTTTTATATTTTTATTGATTGATTTCTTAGTGCATATATAAATTTTATCTTGTTAAATAATTTGAGCTCAAAGTTTTTTTTTCTTTTTTTTTGGTAAGAAGTTTGAATTGTAAATGAATTGAATTGAAAGGTTTTGAAGGGTTGTCTTTTGTTTAGAAAACAAAACAATACTCAGGACTCCAAGAGTCGTGTTGATGGTGGTGACTCGTGAGAGGAGATAAGGTTAATCCAATTGAATTTTATGCAACAAAAGAATGATGTACCCATACACGGTGATCCATGATGCATGATAATCATGAGCTTTTGCCCTATTATATCTAAACTAAGCAAGCTCACTTCAAATTTATCTATTTATGTAAATCTTATATATTTCTTGAAGGGCGCTATTTGTGATTTTACTTGAATCAAGAGATGTTTTAGCCCTTGATCAAGGTTTGTTCATGGTGCTCCAAGTTGATATTATGAACTAGAATACGACGAAATCAAGGGAAAATCAAGAACATATCTAACTACGAATTTAAAGGATTTCCCAAAAGAATTGTATGGTGGAAAGAAAGCTGAAGATGCTTTAATTAGAAGGATCAAGGGATCTGAGCATATAAGCAGGCATCAAGTGACTTGCAGAAAGATGTTGCTTAATATGGGAATGAGTTGTAGTATGGGATTACATATGTATGTAGAGTGTATGTGTGAATGTATTAACGCATGAAAAGTACGCCGAGAGCCGGTTTGGTGAAGAAGGAAATTGGATGAATGCTATTCTAACTTCATGATCGAGCAAAACTGAATCTAATAAAAGAAAAGAAAAGAAAAGAAAAGAAAAGTAATCAAGAAATCAAGAAATCAAGAAAATGAGTCATCAAACTAGAACTTCAACTTCAACTTCAACTCAATCTCAATCACCATCATCAACTTCATTAGATTATTCTCAACCTCAATTAGATTTCATTTTAAACAATTTAACTTCTCATTCTCATTCTCAATACGATCATCATCATCAAAACATTATCATTTCTAATCAACAACAACAACAACAACAACAACTAAACTCTAATCTATTTCTTCAAGATCTTAATCATCACATCTTACCTCATCATTCATTTCCAACTTCAGATCATAATCAATCAACTTCAACACAACAACAACAACAACAACAAAACCCTTCAAAACAACTTCAATCACTCATACCACAATACCTTCAATCGGATGATTATCTCAGAACTCACTTTCAATCAAATCATCACTCTTCTCAGAACAATCCAATCATCAACTCTTCTATACCATCTCAATCAAATCTACATTCTCATCCTATCTCAGAAAGCAAGCTAGAGGTGGATGCTATCAAAAAAGCACTTTCAGTTCTCTCTCCTGATACTCAACAAAACTTACTTTCTGTTCTCTTGGCTACTCAATCTTCTCAATCTAATCATCAACCTCAAAGAAATGATTCTATTAAACCTTCCAATCAACCCACCGCCACCACATTACTTCAAGATCACCTTTTTCAACCCGATCGGCCTTTCAATCTACCTGCACCTTCCGATCACGAATCTCAATCTTCTCCTGCTGATGAATGGAACTTGCCACATCGATCCTCACGTCTACTTCAACATGATCACTCTCAACCTACAAGTCCGGTCCTGTCTGATATGCAAACGAGCTCATTCCATTTACCTAGAGACTCTAATGTGGTGAGTCTTCTCTCTTCTTAGCTCAAGATCTTATCACTCTTGACTCACCAATGTTGACTTTGCCCTTTTGCCATCTTTCAGATCACACCACGTGTGTCACCCAGCTTGACACCTCTCTCTACATATTCAACTAGCTCACACCAAAGTAACTATCTCTCCGATGCAACCTCGATATGTTCTCAGGCTTCCTTTCCTTCTTCCTCTGCGCCTGTCGAGTTATTCTCACCTCTCACTAGTCCTGCTCTCAGGCCAGAAGGTTATCCGTGTACGACCTCTAATAGATCTTCATCAAATCCTACAAACGTTCATCTCAACATGCCTACATTGATCAACCAGGCTGCTGCCTTGGGACTCTCTAGCCACCAATCTTTTCCAAGTGCAGATCAGATCCTTTCAATGACTTCTCGCGCTGACAGGCATGATGGATTTGTCATGGGAGCCCCGCCTCGTCCATCTAATCAACAGCCGACGTCTTACTCTCAACAAATTCATAACCAAGGAACTATTCCTTCGAACCATCATGTTCATCAAGCCTTGTCCGATTCGACTTATACCTCTCCTTATCTAACGGCCGATACTACTGCCATTGGTAATATCACAAGTAGTCCTGTCATCCATGCTACTACGAGCTCAACAAGATCAGTCTCTGGAAAGCAAAGGGCTCCACGCACCCTCAAAAGTCGACCTACTCCTCATCCGCAGAACAAACCGAAATCAATGTCAACTGATGAAGGGCCTAATCGATCCAAACGAGCCAAGAGCGTTACCTCTGGTTCGGTAGCTAGTAGTCCAGTGATCAATCCGAAGCACTCCATGAGCTTAACCAATACACCGCTATGTTTCGGATCTAATTTCAATGGCTTTCCAATGGGTTCTAATAATCTTCTAGGAGACTCGCCTAGTCCAGTTGATCTGATGGCCACCAATGAGATAGAAAGCACTTCGATCCCACCTACGAATGCTACAAAGCCTGGAACAGCTCTTCCTCCAGCTACGATGTCTGGAATGTTGAGTTTATCAAATAATACGAATAAACGTCTTCGACCGCTCACACCAGCTGGGATCATGAATCTTGGACACAACACGACCACTTCAACGAATCAGAAGAGAGGATCTAATGAGTCTTCTAAGATGGACTTGGATCCCACGAGATCAAGTGTTCAAACCACTGAGAGGATGGATACTGATCTTGGATCACTTTCTCAACACACTATGATCTCTTCACCAATCCAAACTAGGTTCGATCAATATCCAACACAGGCTACGACAAATGGGAATGGGCCGATTGACTATACCAAATCGTTTAATATGTTGGATGTACCTAGTGGTTAGTCTTCTGTTTCTGCTAAAATATATAATCTGACTAACGATGTGATTCTCAGCAGTACATCCGGTAGAAAACAGTAATTTACCCAGCGGTTCAAATGATCCAAGATCTCAGGCAGGACTTCCAAATGGTACGACTACGACAACAAAACTCAATAAAGATGTAGATGAGCATAAGAAGAAAAATCAAACAGGAGGACTAAAGAGAGCCTCTTCAAGTTCAACCACAAACTTATCACTCTTACCACCCGAGAATCGTCGAAGTTCACATAAGATAGCCGAGCAAAGACGACGAGATAGTTTAAAGATGTGTTTTGAGGATTTAAGACAGATCTTACCACCGATTCATTGGTCAGAAGATGAAGATCAAGTACGTAGACCAGGAGAAGGGAATGTAGGAGGACAAAGAAACCAAACTAGTTTTGATCCTAATCATCCCAATAAAGGGATCAGTAAGGTAGCCTTATTGAGAAGATCTAATGAATATATTTTAACACTTCATCAAAGATTGAATCGAAGAGATGAGATGATTAAGATGATGATGGAACGGATTCGAAAGATTGGAGAAGGAGAAAGTGGTGGTGCTAGTGGTGGTACGACGACGACGTTTGGATTGATTGAAGAAGGATTAAGATTGATCGAATTGGAAAAGATTGAAGATGAAGAAAGAAGAAGGAAAGTGATGGAAATGAATTGTGGCGAAGAGATGATGGCTCATCATCAGGCTCATGATCAGGATGATGAACAACAACAAGAAGAAGAAGGAAAAGAAAAGAAAGATTTAGATGGTTTGATGATCAATAAGAAGGAACAGGTTAATGGGAATCAAAAGAATGGAAATCGTCAAAAGAAGAATGAGCTTGGAAAACCGATGAAGAAGAAACCTAATAGTAAAACTTTGAATGATGAAATTGTCCTTTAAACAAAACCGTTTCTTGATCATGATGTCTTTTTGGGATTGATGAGATTTTTTTTGGGATGATCTATTTTATGATATGTGTAGATGAATCCGAAAAAATAGGTTTAATGATTTTTTTTTCACTTTTTTTGGGTAGATGATTTTTTTCTTCTTCTTGATGATTGTTTGTGTAAGGTTAGTATGTAGAGAAATGTATTGATTTTTTTTGGGAGTGTTTGTTGTTTTTTTCAAAACATTTGATGAATCATTATGAATCATCATGAATCTTATTATTTTTATAGATACCTAAACTTTAGGGTTGTATGAAGTATGATAGATAAACCTATTTTTAAATAACATTAAACTAAATCAAATTACAAAATCTAAATCTCTTTTCTTTCTCTTTTTTTTTCTACTTTATGATTTTGGTTTTTCTTTTTGGATGAGTGGGGATTATTTCTGGTTATGGGTCTGTGTAGGGGGGTTTGTGTTTTTTTTTCGAGGAAATTGTAGCTTTTTTGTATTTGTTTTGGTGGATCATGGTCATTACTATAGTGGCTCTCAAACCTGCCCCAGTTAAAAAAAACCCGGTTGCCCCAGTTGATTTTTACACTGGGTCAACCGGGTACATGTAAATAAAAAACCTTTGTCCAGATTTCAGATGTGCAAGCAGCATACAACAACCAGCCAGATGCCTCCCAAACCCAAAGCCGCAACTTCTCAATCGCCCCACAATTCTTCCCACATACACCCAAACTTACTGGCCAATTCTACTTCACCCTCGCCGAATACCGTTATATCGCCGAACGCAAGTATCTCCACTCTCACACCAACTTCGGCAAACGGAAGTCCAGGCCTTTCGCCCTCTGTATCGATATCAAGTACCGACTTGATTCGTTTAGGTCATGTTTTGACTACAACTGGCCTTTCTGGTACTTTAACCCCAAGTCAGAATCTGTTGGCCCTCCCAAACTCGACCCCGCCATCACTCCTTACCTTGAATTCACCTTCTCTCAATCTTGGTTCTCAAGAAACATCAGCACCATCCTTAAATACCACGATGGACGAAAGGACCTCGTCTTCAGTTCCTGCCAAACGATCAAGAGGAAGACCAAAGAAATCAGAAACACAATCAAAACTGAAAGAAGCTGAAATTGACCTTGACGATAAGACAAGTCAGGCTTCGTGGTTTGAAAAACAAAGTGACGGCTACTCCGACATGGATATCATCGCTCTGTGGTGTTCTGATGAAGCTAACTTCAACCGTTGGCGAAATCGATTCCCCAGCAAGAGAGCAGTGGCTGGAATCATCGCTGCTCACTTGAAAGAGATGAATCATCGGGAGAGACCGGCAAAGGAAGTTGAAAAGAAGGTATGTAGTTGTGATCTTCTACTTTTTAAACATCAGCTGTTGACATAAAGTAACTTACTGTAGGTGCGAATCATCGAGGAGAAATTCAAGGAGGCACAATCAAAATTTGATTCAACTGGTCAAGGTGTTCTAGACCGCGAAGATTGGGTCATACAGCTGGAAGAAATGAATGCGGTTTCGGTTGATCATGATAGTGAGGGAGGAAAATTGATAACACGTAACATTTATCAAACTGGGAAGATACGGAACCGCAAGGGCAATGATGGCGCCAGTCCTATAGGTATGTACATTATTTCTTCTTCAAAGTTCTTCATCAAACTGATCAAAGTTCATCTTTTAAGAGCAAGCTTTGTCAATATGTCCTTGGTATTGCATCCTGGAACCAGTAATGCTCACGCGACCCAACGTAGTACCAGAATCGACTCGCGATTCCTTAGGGAATAGTTCTTTCAGTGATCTAGCCTCGGATTTGAACGTGAATCGTGGTAGGAACTTCGATATTGGTGATGAAAGTTTGAAAGATGAAGAATTAGAAGAATTAGATAATGACAGCTTGGCAGAAGGCCATCAAGATGGCCAAGCGTCACAGTCCTCTCAAAGATCATCCAAAAGTAAGTGTGTTTAATTCGTATTTTCAGATCTTGAATTGACCTATTTTCACTTTAATAGAAGCACGAATGGATTCTAAGAACTCAATCAAGAATAGCCCCCGCGACCATTTGGGGTTACAAACCCTCATGGGTGAATTCTTACCGTCCAAAACCGAAAGAGCCCGCATTGCCCAACGCGAAAATAAAAAGGATGAAAGTCAGCTTAAGTTAAACGGCCAGATTGCAAATGCTATTACTCAAATGTCTGCGAACCGTAAGGATGATCTTCAACTCAAACGCGAACAACTTAGAGCGGAACTGGCTACAAAATTGATGGACCAAGGTATGAACTTCGATGAGGCCTTCCAAAAATCACTTTTGATGTATCCAGATCGAACAGGACCAATCGAAGGAAACTCACTAGATCATGATTTGGAGGACTCAGAATAAGGATTGTCTGACTAACCCATATCAAATTAGACTCTTACAAATATCTTATTATCAAATTTCTTCATCTTTGTGGTTAGTTCTTCTTTATGATCAGATTGAACCAAATTTCAAGCGACTATGTCCAATTCTTTTTTCATTACTGTTTTTCTCTCAAAATCCAAAGTATTTAGTGATTAAAAACTTTTATTCACTATTTTCAAATACCTAAAAAATCTTTCTTTAAAAACAATTTGATCTCTTTATGATTTCAAGGCACTATGTCAAATTCTTTTTTCATTACTGTTTTTCTCTCAAAATCCAAAGTATTTAGTGATTAAAAACTTTTATTCACTATTTCTAAATACCCAAAAAATGTTTCTTTAAAAAAAGTTTGATCTCTTTATGGACAGTTTTTATCTTGATGAATAGATAAAAACTTATTTGAGATAACTGAAATAACAAAAGTGCAAGTTTTTTTCATTCCAAAATCTCCCAAAACTTGTGAAATCAGATACATTTTTTTCATCAAAAGGTTGACATAGTGAGCTTCCATTAGATCAAAAACAAACAGAGAGAGCTACAACTAAATAATTTCAAAGGCAGAAAGTTATTAGTGAGGTCATTTGAAAAAAAAAAGAAACAAACGATAAAACCAGTCAATCAAAAGAAAGAGACACAGGTTTGAATTCAAAGTTTATGTCAAATCATTTGAGATAAAATCTTGAAATAGCTGTTCTCGTCTTTGTAATGATAATCGTGAGTTCCCCAAAGATGCTATGCGCTCATCGTCGTTACTAGGTATCGGTTCCCGATGCATTTGCCAGTTGTTGTCTTCAAAGGTTGAGTTGTCGCCTCGAATATGCATGAAGTTGTGAATTACACAGCATGCTGAAAGCCAGGCAGATGCTCGGCTCGCGCTTTTCCTGTTCTTGATGAGGAGGCGAGACTCTTTGACAGATTGAGTTCGACCTTTCAACATTCCGTTAGTGTGTTCTGAAACAATTCGTTCAATACTCAAAGCGTTATTGAACCTTCTATGTGCCCGGTCAAGTTCACCATTCCTTGGACTCTTGAAAGCCGGTACTATTCGTTTGGAGGAACTATAACCCGAGTCAGCGATGATGTACTCGCCCTCACTAAAAAAGTCTTCTATATGCTTAAAAAACTTGATTCATTTGGAATCAGCAGATATTAAAATGTACATATTATAACAAATGACTTACCTCAGTCGATTTCAGGACACGTTGGTCATGCGCTGATCCGCACCACCCATGATGAGCGTAAATAATTCGCTTCCGATGATCACATATGATCAATGAATTGAGTGCATAGAATGACTTTCGACAGTAGTAGTCCTCAGGGTTCTTCTGAGGAGCGTATGTGAGTGGAATCAGGGTTCCATCAATGAAACCAACACAATCTTGGAAGAATGAATTTTGACCAATTTCCGTCTTGATAATCTTTCGTTCTTCAGGTGAAGGCCATTTGATGTATTTCGCTTCAAGTTCTACTAATGCCAAGATACAACGGTTTGTATAGTTGTCCACACTCCCCTCTAAACCATGAATCAGAAACCTCTACTTAAACAAATCAAGATGAAGGAAATATAATCACCAGCCATTGAGAAAAGTTTGGCAATTATCGGACCTTGACCACCATTTCCAGAAAGGCCAAAGTTAGCCAGCGCAACCAAGAGCTGCCATTGAACTAGAGCTTGAGGGTAGTTTGAGTTGTTGTGGAAAACCGGGTTTCCAGAGATCTCGTGTGCAAGAGCCACAAAACTTTCCTTGGACATTCGGGCCTATGGGAGTAGAACAAACATACAAGCATACATTTTTCAGTAATTCAGGACCTGAACCAAGGAAGTGAATGCGACTTACAACAATACCCCATGTCCGATCACCTTCGTTGAACCATTCATCGAAACACTCTTGCTTTTTACTTCGGCGTGAAAGACGTCCAATTCGAGGTACCAAATATCGATTGGTGTGAACACGATGTATACCGTAAGCCAGAATGGCTACCATCGATTCGTCTTCCAAACGTTGACGCTTGCGAGAGGTACGTAAAGTATCGGAAGCCGCCATACTTGATAGGAAAAGTTGAGATGCAAGTATGAGGAGGTCATCGGTGGAGTCAAGCTGATCTAAGATAATAACAGCTGCCATGATTGCCGCGAAGTCGCTAGGAGTTGTGCGTGAGTCGTTGTTATGGTTGGCCAGTGAGGCGACCTGAAGGGCCAAAAAGACCTTCATGTAGGCCAGCGCGTCGCTACGGCGGGTTGACTGTGGCATTTGAAGAGAGGAAAAGGGCGTGAGATGTGGAGTTGGGTCGAGGAAGTGGGTATTTGGGTCTGAAACCTGAACCCTTGACCCAGTAGACCCGGTTACCCTCGGTTACCGCCAAAGAATTAACTGGGGCAACCGGGTTTTTTTTAACTGGGGCAGGTTTGAGAGCCACTTATCACCATGGTTGAAACTTGAAACTTGGGAGATAGAATATGATCAGAGATATGCTGAATATCCGGTCACCGGTTTAAGTACAAGTCTACACTTGATGTTAAGTAGAAGGGCCGAGTGCTGCACTGCTGGTGTACCGATGCTCGGGTTTTATTTAAGCAATGGGACAGAGTTCATAAGTTGAAGATCAAAGCAGAACAAACAAGCGAATGGCAAACTCAAACAGAAACAATCGAATGATTATCAGATAGATCCTTATCAATCAAATCAAATCACATCTAGTCAAGAAATCAATTTCATCATCAAAAGACTAAACTGGTCAAGACCTTCACATCCTACCACTCCACTCAAATTCACACCTTAAAACTCTATCATCACCATCCTCTCATCCTCAACACCTCCTCAACCAAACCACACGAACCTACATCATCAGCAACAACCCCTTCATCCGACATTTCAGCTATATCCAATCTCAAACAATCTTATCAATTAACCTAATATCATGGAGGTTAGTCAACAGAAATCAATTTCTCATGAAATTCACAAAAACTAATCCCATTTTTAAATATCAACGAATTCCAAACCACGAAACCTCAAAACCTCAAAATAGTCAGTAAATCGATTCATATACGGACCCAGTTCAGAAGAAAAAGTAAAAAAATGGCAAACTAAAATTAAATCAGAAGAAAGACAAATCGAAAGAGAAATCAAATCGATTGAAAATGCAGAAAAGAAAGTAAAATTAAATTTAAAATCATTAGCTAAAAATAATGATTTAAAGAATTGTAAACTGTTGGCTAAAGAGATTCTTAGAAGTCAGAAACAGAAAGATAGGTTGTTTACTTCTAAGGCTAGACTTAATTCGATTCGTATGCAACTTCAACATCAACTTGGTTTGTGATTTTCCTTTTCTTCATTCATTCGTCTTTTTTTCCTGATCCTTTTTTTGGGTTTTGGTTTGATGAATTGATCTTTTACTTTTTTTTTGGCGGGGGTGGGGGGTAATAGCTACACTTAAGATTACTGGAACTTTACAGAAATCAACGGAGATTATGAAATTATCTAACTCGTTGATGAAATTACCAGAACTAAATAAAACGATGCAAGAGATGTCAAAAGAAATGATGAAAGTAAGTCACCTTCCCTCACCCCAACAAAAACAAGAACAAAGAAAACCTTGAATTAAACATTTAACCAATCATTTCAAAACCTTTGAATGGTTTTGTTTTTGTTTTAGGCTGGGATTATGTCAGAAATGGTAGAAGATGCTATAGATACATTAGATGAAGATGAAGAAGAATTAGAAGAAGAAGCCGAAATGGAAGTTGAGAATGTATTATTCCAAATCACAGATGGAAAATTAGGACAAATGGGAACCTTGACTGGAGGAAAATTACCAGTTCAGTATTTCTTTCCTTTTTTTATATCATATATCCTTCTTTCCTTTTCCTTTTTTTTTTTCTTTTCTCTTTCTGGTTTGATTTTCCCATTAACTGTTGATTTGTTTTTTTACTTCAATTTTTTTACTTTTCTTTGTTAGACAAAACAGGGAGAAAGTTTACAAGAAGATGATTTAGAAGATATTGAAAAGATGCAAGCACAACTTAATGGTCTTTTACAAAGTTAATCACATACCTAAAAAGAAACATCTTATAGGTTTTCTTTGATGTTTTTTTTTTTCATTTATTCATTTTTGTCATCTTTGTTTTCTATCAATAGGTTTTTTTGTTGTTGTTTTACTATATTTTTGCTTCTCTTGTTTATCAATATCAATATCAATATCAATTTCATTCAAATTTTCATACATGGTTTTCAACCCTTGAGAGATAAGTGAAGGCAGGGGTGGGAAGGATGGATGAGTTGTATGGTTTTTAAGAAGATGGTTTTCCAGGAATCTCTATCTTCTTACAATTTCAACTTGCTAAGGGAAAATCATATTTTGACTTCGAATTACATATCACTTCTGAACCAAGAAAGATATTCAAAACTTGCACATTAAGAAGTAATTTGATGGTATCAAAATTATGGAAATGAGCCCTTGCTTTGCTTGGCTTCTTTTTTCAAAGGGGTATGACAAGAACTAACTGTATGTAAGAGCTCCCAAGATTTATCAACCATGCAGCCATTCCAAGCACAAATGAAAGCTTCAAGATTTACAAGGTATTGAAAGCTCAGTTCAAAAGGCTTTATCTAGAGACTTTGATAGATCATGAGATTAGTTATCTAATTGAATATCTACAGATGACACTTTTCTGGCTTAAATCCTCTTTCTTTCAAGAGTTTGTCTGGTAATTGTACTATTTCTTTAATGGTAAAATACACACTGTTCAGCACCCTGCACCGATGAAAACTTTTTTCAGTGTTGATCATCGTGTAAGATGTAATGTTGAGATCTTTGAGGTTCAGAAAAGAAAGAGGTTCTATTGAAATATATGGTGATAGTAATCCAATCATGTTACTGAGATATTTTTCAAAATTGAGTCAAAATACATCACAATTCAAATCTTGAAGAAGAATCTTTGCTCATTGGTATGAATTCCAATAATCATCACTCACAACTTTTCCAAATGGACAAGACTGTATGATTTTCAAGTGGCACAAATACTTTGATTGGATAAAGCCAACAGTATTAGGGCCAAGCAACATACTTACTTACATTGCTTACTGGTCAACAAAATTGGGGTGGAAAACACATGAAATTAAAGTATTACTGAAAATGTATTGTCTGACCCAAGAGAACAATTTACATAAAACTCACTGTCAATGTCCAAGCAAGGTGCTTTTAAGCACATCCACTTCACAACCAACTTGAATTCTGTCTATTTCAAATTCTACAGAGAATATGGATGTAGAGGAATTTGCAGACTCATCTTCAGTCATGCATTGAGGTATATTCAAAGCACAGACTTACAGGATTCACTAGATGTCATCCTTGATATACCTTTCAATTCCTTTCCTAGTAGCCAAGATTTTCATTCAAGTATGACCAGTGGCTCCACGTCTTTCTCCTGAACATCATAGAATGTACGGTTTCAAACGGTGGTGTCTCAAATGTCTTCCAGCCAAAAATAAGAGAATAATGATTATAGACAAACTTAGCCTGAATCAGACTGGACACACATGTCCTTACAGAAGCGACTCTTATATACAACAATGCTCATGACTTTTGTCCACTTTTTGTTCTCTGGCTAACCAAACTTACTTACCTGTCCGTCTAAGAGTCTCCTGAAATCGAAGTGATAAATGATCTTCTTCCAAATGCTACAACAAATACCCATCCATTCCTTCACTGATCATTCTTCCATTTCAACATAATTGGCTGGGAATAAACCTCGAGCTCCACTTGGGTCAGTTCCAGTCCACCAATCTTCTGAAGAAAACTCGATTTCAACAATCATTTCTCCTTCTTTGAAGCCTAAAGACAGTGACAGAATTCGATCTTGAGTGAGCTGCCAGACAAACTTACCAAAACATACACGCGGTGGCCGAATGTCAATAGGCAAACAGTACTTACTGATTTCATTGTCTTCACCAGCTTCATATTCGTATGCAGCGATCGCACATGGACCTTGATCTTTTTCAGGCTCTGAGGTGGCAGGTGGTGCAGGTGGTGCAGGTGGTGCAGGTGGCGCTGGAGGAGCAGGTGGCGCTGGAGGAGCGGGAGCAGATACTGGTGGGACAGGCGCAGATACTGGTGGGACAGGCGCAGATACCGGTTCCTCTTCTACAATGACCTCTACATAGTTGGCTGCTCTCACATAACAAAATGACACATCAAAATGGTATCCGACAAGGCAGTTCTTAGGCACTTCAATCTCAAGCAATACATACCTGGAAATAAGCCCTGTTTGGTCCCATCGGCTCCCACGCCACTCCACCAGCCCTCGTCGAGCATTTCTATTTGCTCAATAATTTCGCCCTCGACTAGATCCATCTCATTCTCTTCAGCCTGAATTCAAAACAACGGATCGGCCAATAATGAGCAGGAGTAAGGTATAATATATGGGACGTCTTGGTCATACCTTCTCGTATTCATATGATACCACAGCGCGTATGCCCACTCCCGAAGCTGCAGCATCGGCAAGATCAGAAGCTAGGGCAAGAGTCTCCATCTTCTGATGCATAACAGCTTCTTCAACTTCTGGGGCTCGATGATCGACCTCATGATCTTCAAAGGTAGCTTCAGGTATCGGCGGTGGTGGCGGAGACGGGGGTGCAGGCGCAGGGGGTGGTGGTGGTGGCGGCGGCGGCGGTGGTGGTGGCGGGACTGAGACAGGAGATAATTGTTCTTCCGCGTGGATCTCCCGTACAGATGGCGCGTCGAAATCGTCATCGACAGGCCTATTTTGTGGAGGAGCATATGTGCTAGCCGGCGGTCTGGTGGCAGAAGGAACATGAGGCGATTTGAAGGAGGAAGCATTATCGATTGCCGCGCGACTTCTAGCCTCCTCTTCTTCCGCTTGTCTTTTGTTGGCAGCTTGTCTTTCGGCCCACGTCAACTTCTTACCTGGACTGGTATTTGATGAAGTAGAATATGCCGTAGCTTGAGGCTGCATGAACGCCGACATCCTGTCTCCGAGTTTACCTGGCTTACCTAAGGACACAGGTGTGTACGCAGTGCCCTTAAAGATAGAGTAAGAAATTGTAAGTATACGTTTGCTAGGGAACGCATAGCAACTGTGACATTAGCTGACCACGTAGCCTGGGCGCCCATCATTCGAGTCTGTGTTGGAGGGAGTAGGAGCAGTTGGGGCTTTGGGAGTAGGCCGTGAGGAGAGGACAGGTGGTGGTGGAGACGGTGAGATCGTTGTAGCTTTGACAGTTGGCTCAAATCCATCATCGTCCATCGCTCTCGACACAGGCGCTCGGGAAAGTATGGAAGCAGCTGAAGGAGCTGTCCGCGCAGCCCGTATCTCGGCCAATTCGTTCTTCATGGGCGTGTAGGATGTACCGACAGGAGCGGGTGGGGTAGGTTTTTGTTTAGAAGTCATCGCAGCAATATCAGGACGCCCGATAGGCTGATAATTTGTACCCTGTGAGTTGATCAAGATTAGTACTTGGTGATAATCTTGATAGACTTTGGTTCCTTACCACTGGAGCAGGAAGCTCTCTTTTCATGGGCTTTTCGTTATGGATACTATATTTTGCTCCGCTGGAGTCAATTACTTTCTTCAAGATGTGTTGAGGGTCAACATCGGCTTCAGAACGCGCATTGATTTGGACATGGTATCTAAATTTGAAGGAATTTTGTGCCAGTGAGTACGGATTTCAAGCTCATTAGATTGGAGCGCGGTAGATGTATCATTACCCTTTGAGGAATTGCCCGACAGTGCTGGTGTGCGAATGGAAGAGACCTTTGCGAGACTCCTGTACACCATCACCACACTATAATTGATCGACAAGATCTCAAGGTCAAATATGAACTGAGAGAAGTTGTGTAGACACCAGTTGAATTCAACTCACCCAAGCGATGAAGACAAACTTGGTCAATTTTGAACCTGGGTCAGTAACCCTGACAAAAGCGTATTGCATTCGACCATCATTCCAACTCTCTTCGAGCTCTTCCAGTCCACCAGTGCCTTTCTCTTGCACCTTGAGGTCATTTGTCTGACCCACATATGAAAGCAAAACATAATCAATACCAGGGTCTGATGCAATGATACTTTGATACGCTTGACTGATCGCAGGATCTGAAATCCGAACTTGTGCCTACAAATGAGGGCAGCCGCAGTAATGTTGTGGTCAACTAAAGTCCAAAAGACCCGAGGAAATGAGGATAGCTGATTCGAGTGCTTACCATGATGATCAATCCAAATTGATAATGCTTGTTGACCTTGATCGTTGATCATCAGGATAACCGATCAATCGAAATGAAAGCGATGAAGCTCGATTCGAGTTACATAAGAGGGTATGCTCTTAAGCTTAACTAAGCCCCTCTCGGACGAGCGAGTAGTCGAGAGAGGGGCTTAAATGGGACTCGCGTTTCATGGCGGGAGAGCTCCAGAAATTAAGTACCTTTATGTACTTTTCTGGAGCTCTCCTCAAATACTCATTGTGGGATTTCTCAAGGTTCAGATATGTGTAGCTTCATGAGAAGCTACACAACCTCGTACCACTTTCAGCAAGATTTGTTGGAAGTAAGGGTATTCAAAACGGATTTCCAGTTTGTTGCAATGTGTAGCTGGCTATTTCAGACCAGGAGGCTGAAATGGCAGCTTCGTCGGAAACTACCAATTTCTTGACAAAACACCACAAGGGTTTCGTCTTCGTAAAAACAATAAAGGACCTCGCGCCACCGGGATAAGTGTCCCTCGATATCCAAGGGTTTTGATGAATATCTTAAGGGTTTTAGCTTTTATCCATTTCGGCGGCAGTTTCGGCGAAGGACCAAACATCCAAATCTCGGTGAAGGCCAGTACAGGCCTGTACTGGCATGCTTAGGCTGTTACAGGAGGACGTAAGAAACCATTTGCGCAACGTTTCCTGAAAGCGTCACAGCTCTCAGTTGTTGATGAAAGTGGTACGAGGTTGTGTAGCTCCTCATGAAGGAGAACATACCTGAACCTTGAGAAATCCTACGGTGAGGAATTGAGGAGAGCTCCAGAAAAGTACATAAAGGCACTTAATTTCTGGAGCTCTCCCGCCATGAAACGCGAGTCCGATATAAGCCCCTCTGCGAGGGCGCGGCGAACGCGCTAGAGGGGCTTAGTTAAGCTTAGTATGCTCTAAACCCATGGATTTTATGCTTGTATCCCGACTCAAACCCATCAGCACTTCAGGTTTCAGCCCAGCAATGATGACCTCGACCTCAAGGAAAACCTTCTGATTGCCGGACATTCCCCTCGGCGAGGCAGACTATGGGCCCTCCCCCATGGTCTAGACTGATCACAGATGGAGTCGGCATATCATCATCTCAAACTCATTGCGAGACCAACATACCAGATCCTTAGCAAAAATCTTACTTCAGTCCTTGAATCTTGGACTCTTCAGGCAAGATGTTTTGCTGGTGGCATTCAACATTGATAAATCTACCTTACAATCCCAATTAGGACCTCGCTTCACGGCTGTCAAACAAGGTGTCTCTTCGATTCCTAGCCAGAAGAAATAGCGTAATATGGAAAATCGCTGTTTTGTTTACAATCATTCTTCAACTCATTTGCTATATTCTTGGACTCTCCTCAAGGACTTTCTGGAAATAGAACACATGAGTCTCGCTGTCGAACCAATTTTGTTCTTCGAGGACAAAGAAAAATATCCCGTAGCACCGATCATTTGATAAGCGCGACGAACTTATCTCCAATGGCATCGTCAAGGCCCGTAACGAAACCTGACCTTTCGAAACCATGAAACGGTGGTGATTCGAATGCGATGCAAGATGACCAAATCGCTGATTTGTTTTCTAAAGGCAGCATATGATATAGTTCGTGATGGATCTACATTCCCTTGCCACTAGGTCGGTCATGGTCTTCCTAAGCTTTCAATCCCATACATCTGCTTTGATAGGAACGCCTAATGAGTCTGATGCGTTCGAGGTCCACTGAAAAACTTATCTCGGTAGATTCAACCGCGATGTGAATCGGCCAAAGTCTGCGTGCATTCCTGCCGGGCTAGCAACTTCGACGGAAACTAGGATGATAATTGTGACTGGAGAACCTGGTCCTTGGAAGTAAAACCTGAGGTAATGCTGGGATCAGGTCGAGTATATGCGCAATGGATGGCTAAGAACGAGTCAACGTATCGAGAGTATGATACTTGGACTGTTAGGTAGATGAGAAAAGGCACATCTCATCTTATTCCATGTGCGATTTGCAGATCATCGGTCCTGATTTACCGTCGACACAGTTCTCTTAATTATTCGATGTATCCATTCTTCCTCATAAAAAGGCTCCCTTTCCATCTTTCCGTCTCAGTAGAAAACCATCCGAGTTCTTTTTATAATTATAATCCAAAAAAAATCTTCCAAATCAGCTATCTTGAATAATAATTCGATATCATTCACACACTCTACACTATGACTCCATCAATCACTCCTAACGCGACTGTGGCCAACCCTTTATTCGACCAAAAGGCTTCGAGTGAGGTCGACGTTCTCATCATCGGTGCTGTCAGTCCTCGTCTTTTTTTGCGAAACTGAATCTTTATCATCGAGGGTCCTCTTACACTTTATGTGCTGCGTCTGCGATCCGCTTCTCAGGGCCCTGCAGGTTTGATGGCTGCGGCTTGTTTAGCTCGCTATGGTGTTCACAACGTTAGGATTGTGGATAAGCGAGCGACCAAGGTTTGTTTGATCGCATCTTCTTGCCTCTCCCATGCTTTTTCCATCTCGTTTGAGAAAGTTCACTGAGACTCTTCTTCAACAAAATTGGACAGATATTTACGGGGCAAGCTGATGGCTTGAATCCCAGAAGTCTGGAGGTAGGCTTGATGTCTGTCTGAAAGTCCGTCCCTGAAGTTCGCTTTCTGAAGCCTCGTTCGTTTGCGTGTGGGTAGGTTTTACAAGCTCTGGGCATCGGTACCCAAGTGATTGCTGAAGCAAACGAGCTTGGGGAGATATGTTTTTGGAATCCCAATGAGACTGGACGGATCAATCGTACAGCAAGGATCCCAGATGTGAGTAATACATTCGAGACCTTATTCGATTTTGTTTGATTGAACATTTTATGGATGAGCTGAGAAATGGCCTGGATATACATAGACAATCCCCGAAATTTCAAGATACCGTCAATCTACAGTCCATCAAGGACGAATTGAGCGCATGCTGCTTGACACCATCGCTTCTTGGTCCAGTGCTCCAATTGGGGATGAATCCACCCAATCACGCAAGACCCCCATCACCGTCGAGCGCGCCGTCTGCCCCGATCTCATCACTTTACCTTCATCCACAGCTTCAGCGTTGTCTGATTCTCCTCAAGATAGGGTGGTCGTTCGGCTGCGTCATCTCTCCGAAGCAGAAGCCAAACCTGCTCAGTTCTCTCCTCTAGCCCCCGACGGACTCTTCCGCTCAAATATGTTCGAAGACGATGCCTTGGACGCCGCTCCCAAGGATCTTCCCCAGAAGGAGGTTCTCGAAGAGGTTCATTGTCGATACGTCATCGGGGCCGATGGTGCTAGAAGCTGGACGAGAGGTGCAGTTGGCCTCAAGCTTGAAGGAGAAAGTTCCGACTTCTTTTGGGGGGTTGTAGATGGCGTCCCTGCTACTGATTTGTTAGTATCTGGCGCTTTGAAATCTTGAGCTATCGCTGACTTCCTTTCATGTTTATTTCAGCCCCGATATCAGGATGAGGTGCGCTATCCACTCAGCCGAAAGTGGCTCAATGATGGTTATTCCACGAGAGAAGGATCTAGTTCGACTCTACATACAAATTCCTCAACCCAGGAAAGGACAACGACCAAACCGAGCTGATGTCACCCCTGAGAAGCTGATGGCTGCAGCTAATTCCATCATCGCGCCTTACACCATCAATATTCCCAAAATCGAATGGGTGCGCCCTTTTCTAAGTTTGCTAAAGTATCAAGCTTATTTCGCTCATCTGCTTTATTCAGTTTACGTGCTATGAAATAGGGCAACGACTTGCCGACAAGTGGCAGAAATTTAATCGCGTTTTCATTGCTGGAGATGCATGTCACACTCATTCTCCCAAGGCTGGACAGGGTATGAAGTAAGTCCCATGTCACCGCTTATACCTGTACTCGTTACTTATTGCTAGAGAGTAGCACATCCATGGCAGATACCTTCAACTTATCCTGGAAAATAGCTCATGTGTTACAAGGAAAAGCGCACCCCAAAATTTTGGACACTTATGAAATCGAACGAGCACAGGTCGCAGCTGAGTTGATTGAATTTGATCAAAAAGTATGTATCATTTCGAGTATCCCGCGATCAAAACACCACTGATTCTTTCTATGTCTTTTACCAACAGTTCGCCGCCCTGTTTTCTGGAAAGCCTGCAAAGGACGTCCTAGACGAATCAGGTATCTCATTGCAAGAGTTCCAGCAGACGATGGAGAAGGGAAATCAATTTGCCAGCGGCACATCTGTCGATTATCAACCCAGCGCTCTGGTCGCCAAGCGAGGTAGCCCACATCAAGGTGTTGAAAATAAACCAGAACTTGCCGAAAAGCTTTCAGTAGGACCTCGTCTGTACAGCCATCAAGTAGTTTGTCTGGCGGACGCAAGACCTTATCATATCGCTGATTTGGCCCCGGCAGATGGAAAGTGGAGGCTTCTTATTTTTGGAGGGGATATCACGCAATACTCAGGTTGTAAGGGACGTCTTGAGAAGCTAGCCCAGTTTTTAGGTGAAAGCCCGCAGAGTCCTATCAAGAAGTACACGCCCCCAGGTCAAGAAACAGATTCAGTCATCGACACAATCACGATCTTGGCCTCTCCTAGAGTGTCGCTTGAACCGGATGCATTTCACACTGTTCTGAGACCCATAAAGGGAAAGCATGGCTTTCGATCATATCAAAAGATGTACGACCCATTTCACTACTTGAAGTTGCATGTCTTGTACTGCTGGCTAATTCCCTTCGAATAGTTTCACGGACGACCAAAGTTATCATCTAGGACATGGCCATGCTTATCAGAAATATGGAATCGATCCAAAAGTTGGGTGTGTGGTTCTGGTTCGCCCAGACCAATACGTTTCTCTGGTCACAGACATGAGTGATCACGCTGGGATTGGTTAGTCGGAAACATTCTTTGATATCTAGTCACCAGAATTCCTAACAATATTTATTTCGCGTGATCTCACAGCTGCATTTTTCGAGGAATTTATGCTCCCAAGGAACACGACTTCCGCTCTTGTCCCACAGATGGCACAGATTGCTATCTGAACCATGAATGTATGACGCACAAGAGTATCCAAGTTTCGTCGTCATTTCCTTATCTTTGGATAATTTAGTTCTCGTACGATTTGTTGATTCAGTAGCCCGTTTTCAAGTCTCTCTAGTCTCTGGTTTTCCTTAACATTTTTTTCCGTGATTCAAACACTCCTATTATTTTTATGAGATCATCTCTGTACAATCCTACCTTTTTTCTCTTGTTCGGCTCTCAATGTAGTCTACAACAATTTGAATGCCTTCAGTAATCAGTATTTTTCAGTGAATGTTATGAGTGATCACAAGATTAACCTAGATATTATCGACAATCGTGATGAATCATCCAAACGCCTACCCCAATACTCCTCGTGCGCAGTGTGAGCGCTTGGGGGCCTCATTCTAGGGTGGCGCTCTGTAAGGTGTTCACATCTTTCAACATCCCCCAAGCTTAGAAATAACCCTACTTGAAGGGATTCAAACTTTTCAATAACTCTGTCCAGGACCCGAAACAAATAGGGAAGCCATGGATAGGTTGCTTCTCCAGTTGACAATATTGGTGCATCATTGAACTCATTGATGATATTCTTGTAAACCTAATCTTTGAACCTCAGCGCCTGTTTAGGGAGACTTCACTCCGTGTAACCAACAACAAAAGATAAATTACATATTCAATATCAGCCTTGTGATGTGATAGATTGAGACAAACACGGACTCCATCACAGACGACAACATGTATGTACATCTCACGTTATCTTTGCGAGACGCACGGTTGAAGTCCGTAGCTGTTAGTGTCCAAGAATGGAGGTAGGTGTGTGGCACTGGCACAGCTGAATGAGCTTTACAAGACTTTACAATTTATGTCGTACCAGAGGACAAAGACTGATTTGAATTTTCTATATTTTCTGGTCTCGTTTGTAGTTTAACCACCTGGCACCACTACCACACGTCACTCCTTTGGTATGTGTATAGAGTTTTTCATCTCATAGTGTTGTATGTACAAGTACCTCATTTCAGTCCATCTTGATCAAATCCTTGAAGTTGTGCCCATTTTAACAGATGAAACAACAGGAAAGAACCTGAAAGAACCCCAACAAAGTAAACTTCTCAAAGTAATACTCGTCTGACCATGAGAAACTGCCTGGTGTTCTTTGCAGAAAACCCTCACATGGGTGCTAACAGCCTGACAGTTGAAAACCTTTTTACAAAGCATGATGTCACCGGGTTCAACCCTGTTCAACCCCGCTGTGTGGATCGATGTCAGAATACAGACCAGAGCATTTCTCCCAATATTGCTTTGAGTCAAGTAAAATGAACCTCAGAGGGACGGGGAAGCTTGATGGTGAACCCAGCAAAGTTTGTAATCTGTCTGGTCGGCTTTGGTTTAGCTAGGTTTAGCTTTGGTCATCCGATGGAAAGCGCGTACTTAGCCATGAGAGTTTCGCTGATTCAACGTACTTTGCGCGCTTACAGATCATCTGCCCGCCGATAGCAAAGAAAGATATGTGGCTTTATATTAAGCGAGAATGTTAAAATTAATACAAAGCTCATGATCCGTCAACTGACCGTTCGTGCGTCAAAGACACAAAACATGCTCTACTCCTCGGCTTGATGTGAATTATAATTAGCTATTAGTAGCCTTTCTAGCTCAAAAGGCATATGTACTTCATCAGTCCTCCTGTTTGACCAAATGAAATACAAGCTGCTACATGAAGTGCCTCTTGACTGCTTGAAAAATTTACATAGAAATAGGTTGACGAGGTCACAGACAGAAACAGACAAGGATTGGTCTCCGTACCACCCTTTGTATTCTGACTTTCCGTCTACCGAGAGCGAATATCTTGCCAATCTCAACTGTTGTTCACGTCTGGACAATGTCTCATATCAGCCAGCGCTGCGACCTTTGAAACCTCAGGAATAATTGAGTTTTGCTATTTGGCATTGTATTCCGGTTTTTCCTGTCAGGATGTTTCTTGTTTCGCAGTGATCGGAGTGCGAATAGCAGTATGGTCTCACTCACTGAACTCTGGCTTTTCTCATGAAGGTTGATCAAGAGTTTGATTTAATCAAGATACCGGTGTATCCGAACGGGAACTTATCTCCTTCTCTGTTATCTACCAGAGATGTTCAATCATCAGCGTATCGCAATCTCCAAAGTCGATTAGCAGCACCGTTCAAAAACTTATGAAAGAGGTAAGTTGGGCGCCTTGGAGATCTTCGACTCTTGCCAACCTCTTTCTCATTGCCGTTCCTCGCTTGTTAAAAATGATACTAACCTCATTGGATCATCTGAATATTCAGACTATCACACTTCGCAACGGACTTGCTTACCAACCAATTCGCAGACACGTTATCAACTTGGCTAGCAGTCTCCGACGCTCCGTCAACCCATCCTCAATCATTTCAAGACAAAAACAATCGATCTATAGCACTAAATCCATATCCTTCCTACTCACAAAGTAGATTGCATCTCACAATTTCTTGTTCCACTTCCGTGACGTCAGATCATTATCTTTGTAGGTAGTCTGATTTGAAAGCACAAATACCAGTAATTTCTTTCTCAGCATCTTCTTTGCTCGTCTTACTTGTTTTCTGTCAACTTACCGGCCGAGGATCGTAAAAATCATTGCTTTCATTTTGCGTTCGCGGGAATAGGAACCGCTTTCCTAGCGTAAAGCCTTGAACACCTCTGCGATCTCTGATAGGCATATCAAAGATTTTGCGAATCACCCTACCTCTGTTTGTACACAGCAAAATTGCGGAAGTCCAGCCTTTCTTTCCATATATGTTGTTTTGTTTTGCATTTGGACTACTTTAAGTGCCTGTTGGGTCGCTGCATTTTGGGCTAACATCACCTCACAACACATTTCTCGTGCGGTATGATTTTCGACCATCAAACAAACAAGATGAACAAACCATTTTCTCTGGGGAGACGATCATCGGGTAGCATTAGTTCCACCACACCAGTATCCAGTGGGAGCGCATTTGGAGATCAGCTATGCAGGCAACTCGAAACCCAGCTCCGCCTACAATCAACTAGCAATATGGCGCTTCCCGCACACAGACCAATTACTCGAAGCCATTCACTATCGAATCCACACATGAGAACCAGTCTGCACAACCATACATATGACCGTAGACCCCAGTCTGCTACCCTATACACATTGAACGCTATCGATCTATCTACCAGTCCTGTGAGATCTCCTTTTCTCGACAACGTCGGTCCATTCGTAGAATCCATTAAAAATGATAATAGCTTGACGCTGATGTGCTTGTCCCTTGTTTGTCCGTATGATGCTACCCACCACTCGCATTTGATGTACATCCGTCAACAGGCGCAGTTGATGCGTAAGGATTCGAATGCATCATCCAGCTCTCATCAGTCTGTACCCTCGAGCGACTCTTCCGCTTCCTCTTACTGTCATGTCCTCACTCCGACTTCAGGCGCTGTGGACGAAGCAGGCGAAGGAGAAGGCTGGAATGAATTCTTGAAATTGGGAATAGATTCTACCACGACGCAGTCTACAATTTCGGACCAATCCAAGGCTACCAGCAAGAAGAGAAAGACAAGCTTGCGATCTAAATTTCGCTCATTTTTTCCAAAAGAGCAAACGTCATCTGAAGCTTCTCTACATAGTTCCCGACGATATGGTTCAAAATCTGAACCAGTGACGCCCGCTGTAGAAAAGTCAGACCTGTACGAGCTTAAAGAGCAACCAATGACCAAAGAGTACTATATCTCGTCACCAAAAGAGAGTTCAAAAAAATTGGTCCAATTTGACATCAGCAACATTAATCCTGAACGAGATTTATCTTCATATTTCAAAAATCAAACGAGGGTGGCAAGACCCGGATTAGTTAAAAAGGTTTGTCTTTTTGATGGCTCATACGCTGATAGCTTACTTCGAGGCTTACTGCCTGTCGCTTCTTGTTGCGTAGCCCTCAATCCAAAGATCATTTCCGATCAGTTCTTCGCTAGATACAATTCCCGAAGACACTCGATCCAAAGTCTGCTTACTTAGTCCAAACGGAATGACTCTTTGATTCATTACTATCGATAACTCAGGGAGAAGGGGCGTCTCCCATCAAAAATCCTGCATTTTTTCACACTCGAACTATTACCTTACCTTGCATACTCATTTTTCCTGCAGACGATTCACTGGCATTCAAAAATCACTTCAATCTCTCAATTTGGCAAGTCTAGTTTTCATGTCGGATTCAGGGATTTATCCTTAATTTATAGTGAAGACCTCGACGTCGTCGCAAAAAGCAATCCTATTAATTCTCAGTAATCACATTGCATCATTCTTGAGGTCGATTGTGCCAACCAAGCAGCTTTATCACGTTCAAACACTTTCGCAAAATTTAGATTCGATATCAAAATGACTTGACCCAATTTCCTTCAGCATCAATCCAACAGACAAAGAATTTTCACTAGTAAATCATGTATTTCTCAAAGAAAACAAACCATTTCACTTGTTTTCCCCAGAAATTTCCGTACTATCAGTTTCTTCTGTAATGTCTCAACTGGCTTGTTCAATTATCTTTGTTTTTTTGGTAAACTATATGACTACTTGAATGTTCAATAGACTTCTCTCGATCAAAGCTCAAACTGCAGAGCTTTCCTTGTTTGAGCTAGTTTTGAAGACTCCGAAATCTGAATTAATTGATGCTCTCAAGTTTAGAAATTGATTCTTTCCAGTGTGCCTTTTTTAATCTTTCAGTTATCAAGGCGTAGGTCCAAAATTCAAAGTGAGATTGTTATGTCAGTAAGCTTAACACTATGACCAATCAATGATATCACTTAAGATGATAATCACTGATAAAGCCTCATATTAGGCTGATATACCACCAACAACTCTGATATAACTATTAGTATATGAATCAAATACTGAGGTTGTGTTGCATTTTACCATATGTCTTATGATTACAAAATGGTATATAGGGAGTTCAATTGGTACATCACAACGTGAAGAGAAACTGAACAAAGGAACCAATGGGTTTGCACACTATACATC